TTCATCTTCCAAATTTTTATAATCTGCGATAAACTGCTTGGTCAACTGTCATTAAGATTGTCTATATTTAGGACATTGAGGTAAAAATTTCTCCGTGGTTTTACGACGTAGGTCAACTGTTAAATCGAATCGTTACTAACAAACTACAATTTAAAAAGTGATACACGTTACGCTCATTTACTTTATAGCACGTGCATAATTGATACTTCAATGTCAATTTCACTGTTACAAGCCCTTAAAACATTTGCTGACTGCGTCTGTCTTATTTTATATGTTTTTCTACTACGAAAATTTGACGCTTTTTAACATAATCGACACAAAAGACCTAGATCAGTATTATATTAAAAGGATATAAAAAAGTAATTTTTTATAAATAAAAGTATTATACGGAGAAAAAGATAGTTAATGCCTGGTATTGACAATACGTTCGTATTATTATTGGAAAAAAATTAGTCGTTTTAAATAGTAGCCGTACCCGCATAGTGATCATTTGCTTTATCTGAAATCGACTATTATTTACGTGAATATCACTCATTTAAAATAATTAACCATGCCAGAACATGCTTGCTGTAAGGCAGAAAGCGTCGCGACAATTTAGCAGTTTTAATTCAACTAATTCATTTTAAAACTGTGATAATTATACGTGTTGTGTCTGATATATGTATTTTTTATTATTAATTTCTATATTAAATCTAAAAAGGTTCAGTTCACAACTTCCCTTATTCATCACAGTAATTCAAGCGTTTACTATCCAAACGTTTAGTACTAAATTTCTATTACAACAAAATGACTGACACGATTGTGCAACTGCCAAGAGGCAGCATTGGAATTTCAAGGTTTCTCCGAACATAAAGACGTCACTCATTCCATAATAATTATCGGAATTATAATTTATAAAGTTCGCTATCTTTTACAACTAATGTTTAAGTTTAATTTTATTTAATTTTCAATCAAGTATACAGTATTTACATTATTAAATTACTAATGTTTCATATTTTAAAAGGGTTTTATTTGCCTTTTTTTACTTAAGGTTTGTACTACGTATATATATATTTTCTTAACATATATAATTTTAGCCTTAAAAGCGAAATTTGCTTGAGAATTAATAGAGGACCTTTATTATTGAAATTTTATAAAGCCTTGAATTTTGATTTCCTATTGTTTTACTGTATTTATAATTACTTTTCCAAAACAATAGCCCGATGCCTTGTTAATTTTGACCTTCATTTTTTTGATTTCATCTATACTCATATTATAGACCCTACGGCTGATACAGACGCTGTCTAAATAAGAACTATGAAATAATGGAAATAAAGAAATACTCTCTATAACGTAAAAATGAGTTAAATTTGTTTGGTTTAACCCAATATACATACATTAATTCTTCACTCCCTATAACAAAAAATCTCTATAGCGAATTAAAATGCTCGTTCCCTTGAAATCGTTATAAAGAGTTTACACTGTATATGTGTGTAATTTCTCTTAATATTCAAGTAGGCGATCGTCTCTTTTACCTTGCAAATAGAACAATTGTTTTTGTTTCTTAGTGCACAAAGTTGCGCAAGCTACTACTATATATCAACAACAAAAATATTTAGAGAAATTTAACCTTCCTATCCTACACGACTACTTAATAATATATCCAGAATCTGTAATATTGGCACTTCGGAAGAATTTAAGCGCAATCGCAGTGAATAGCCAAGATTATTCAAAACATCTACACAGAAAGTAAAGGAAAAATCCCATTGTCCAATTTGACGGTCAATTATGCGCAAATTTTGCAGGTAATTTAATCAAGAGGTATTGAAATAAGGCAGGTCCGTAACATAATGAAAAGCATTTTTCATTTAAAACAATGAATATATCAAAATGTCAAATGTTATTTTCTAGAATCTAACACAGAAATTTACCAGTCGTATAATATACTTTTTTTTTTTTTCAATATTTACAGCGATCGTTGTCGCTAAAAACCGATCGAAGCGGCGAACTATATGTATAAAAATATAATAAATCCGCATTTATAATCGTTAATGAAGGGTTAATTATAATATTATTGTCTTTATATATGTATTAGTGAAAAGCATACTGACCGTGTACTATTCAACCGTTCAACTCGTGTGATAATTAATAAAAACTTTAAGCTATAATCTACCATAATACATGGTGATAAAAGTCATTATAGCATTAGTCTTAAATTTAATAAAAATATACCCACCACCTAGCCTTCATCCACCACAGGCGGTCGTGTCGTTTCTTACTTCATTGCAATAAGGTTCACTTTTCAACAAATACAAAATAGGTAAATTTGTACTTATGACAATAGGTCGCACGCGCATCTAAAGTAGTGCAGTGTAACTGTGTCTAGAGAATGAATGAGAACTCGGTGAAATGATTTTTACTGCAAAATGACCAAATACATGAATTTTTGGCACGAATCGCAGTCGTTACACTTTCGCAATTATTATATTAGAAACGATAATTACAAGCTGAGCTCGTGGTTTTGTCTCAATGATGTCAGAAGATTTATTAAATGTAGCTAATTTAATTATATTTTGTTTATTTATAATGTTTTACTATGCCAATATATACAATTCGTTCCAGATATATATATAAGAAAAACAAATATTGTCACGAGTAGAAAAGTTTAATGGGCCTTGAAAGATACAAAAAATATCATAGAAAAGAGTTCAACGCGTCATTACTGTATTATCGAATATCTATAATTAGTGTCAGCTACTTAAAATTATCTTAAAAACTAAATTATTGTGTATAATTTTAGAGTAGTTATCTAAATAATGAAGCTGTAAATTTAAGTTAAGAAGGCAAATTCAACAATTTAAAAAAAAAGGATTTAACCTTATCGATTGATATTTAAAAGGTTATCTTTCGCATTTTATCCGGTTCGATTTACGAATTTTTAGTATATTAAAAATATTAATGGAGATTCCTTTATTTTTCAAAATAAAATTGTCTTACAAAAAAATGCTTCATTAATAAGGTTAATTGCCTTCTAGGTGGTGTCAAAAAACTACATCTGTATATACGACGATAATTTAAATAACGGTACCTTACTACAAAATAATTATTAGCCAAAGGCAACAGCGAGGTCAAGCGAAATCGTTATCCTGAGTTTGCAATACATTTCAAACAGTTTATTACTACATTGCATGTTAATATATTCAGTACAATGTTAAACGATTTTGCATAAAGGTTATTTTTAATATTACTGCGTAACTATTATCACTGTTACGATTTAAAATTAAAATACAACTATTTTCAATATATTCTATTTCTCATATATTGTTATAATGTAAAGTTATAACGTGTTTGCGTTAGACATCAAAATATAGATTTTCTATTTTTATTAACCGATGCCTATAATTTTTTTTACATTCCACGATTACGTAATGATGAGCTAATATATGTTTATTAATGGAAATTGTTTATAGATGCAAATTCCTGAAGTTAAAACTATAGCTTATTCATATTGTGATTTCTTTTAGTTAAGTAATTATGAACTTTAGCGACGATATTTGGGAACATATTCTTATGCGGATATTATTGTACTTTCACGTAGATATTTTTCAAAACGTGTACGTTAAAATAAGGATTATTTAATAAAATAATAAATTTTAATTACGAAATATTGAGAATGAAATGTTATTTGGTAATCATTATTATTATAATTAATATAAAAGTATAATTAAGACGTAAGCGTAGTAAATTCAGAAAAGAAAATAGTGTCTGTCAAATGAGCTGTTTTGCTGTCTACATTGCGGTCTACCATATGTTCATAGAATAACACTAGAAACACAGGCTTTAACTTAGAACAGATCATAAACAGTGATTCTTCATTATTTAGCAATTGTCATAGATTATGTTAGCAATTTATTTTTTATTGAAATCGTAACGTAATATGTAATTTATATATACGAGTATATATCGATTGAATCAAATCTGTGGTAACATCAATAGCGACATTTCTAACTGGTTTGACCGCGTGCCAGCCTCCTTAATCGACGTAACCGCATTGCTGATCAGCGTCTATATTTCTTAAACTACGTGAGTTAAATCATAATTATTTTTGAATTACAGTTGGTACAAAAAATTTCGAAAGATTTCGTTTAAAATGGTAAAAAGTTATTTCTACCTTCAGTTGTTATTTTTATTTCACTATATGCATTGATAGTATCGTAAACAATCTTAGTAGTAGTAAAACAATAATAACATTCGTATTGAAAATAAATGAATCAATTCTTTTGCTCACAGAACAAGGATCTATCATCGTATATTATCAACGATGCCAGTAAATTATAAACAAAATTTACATTTCTTATGACTTCATAATGATAAGTAAATGACCTTTCCTATTCCTTCATTAGAAGTGTCTCCGGAAGTGATTTCGAAGGCTTTGTAATGCTTGAAACTACAAATTTGAACTTGAAATTTAAATTTAAACTATGGAATAATCATTATTACTTTTGAATGACTTTATAAAAGGTAAAATACCAAACTATCTGCATAGCGGTATTAAAAAACGTGTCTTAGTAACGCGTGTATTTACTACAGAATTATTGCAATGTTTGTGGACTTGAGTAATCCAAAAATATTACAAAACTCAACGCAATCTCTTCTTCGCTGTAACGTCTTACGACTTCGTCAATAAGTTTTAATTATACTCAATAACCATGGTTACGCAAAAGCTTAATGTGGGTTAATGTTGCAGCATTAGAAACTAATTTATTAGTGGTAATTTTAGTTTAATGATTAAATTATTAATGACAAATGTTTGTCATTATTCATAATAAAGAAATAAATGTATTTGCTAATTTACCTTTCGCTTTAGTATTTATTTTCATAATATTAATGCTTTAATTAAGACACAATGTTCTTTTACATAAATTAACGTATGTAGCTAGAATGTTGGTTCATATTGAACTAGTATAAACTATAAGAATTAATTATTATTTACCCTAGGTACGTATATATAAGTAACTTACCTCTGGTGGAGCAGCGAATTTAAGGTTTGCTAGAGATCCATGCGATCGACTTCTGTGCTCTTGTCTTATACTGTAAGAAAAAGCACGCTCGTTCATATGACCCTTTTTTCTGTATATTCCGCCGGCGTCTTCAACAGCTTCCAAAGTCGTCATACTTTGAGCAGCTTTGAGAGCAGGCGGCTGCGGTTTCGAGCGTCTTGGGTCGACGGTCGCGTATTGAATTCTGCCTCTTCCCGGAGGCGGAACTGGGCCGTAGGGACCTGGAGCTAAAGCAGCCGGGACACGACCTCTGTGACCAAGAGTAGATGGCCGCGCATGTGGTAAAGTTGCAGCAGGATGCGCAACCAACACCATAGGATGAGCCGCTGCCCAAGCTGGAGGGGCTCGACCTAAAGATCTACCATTCATCATGGGCGCCGGACCTGGCATAGTCGCGTATAATTCATCTGCCGATGCAGATGATTTCTTTTTGATTTTTTTGTCGTACCCTTTTTCTTAGGCTCTTCAGGCGGCGGGGGCGGTGGTGGCACAGAGGCAGGCCGGGTTATCTGCCGAGGTCGAGGTGCACGAGCGGGATGCGGAATCTCATCGCTCGCATCATCTCTCTCAATTTCTCCGATCCAAACTTTATGATTTTCATCCCCGTCATAAACCTCAACCTCTTCATCTGGCTCTGGTAGTTGTGAAGGTGATCGCTCTGCTTCTAAGCGCTTAGCATATGAACTATCTGCATACGCGTGAAAACAACAACGTACTAGAGCATTGGCTGCCGCCTCACGCCTGCAGATAAAGGCGTGACATTCGAGAACTTTGATTCCTTGAGTGCGCCGCAAAACAGCTGCAAATAAAGGAGGTCGCCTTGCCGCTGGCGCTCTAGCGAACGGAGAGTCTAAAGGTAAAAATCTCGGCGCACCCTCAACACTGACACGTCTCACGGCTGCGCAATAATGAAGGCTCGATATGGGAAAAAATCGCGACACTCTCGAGCCGCTCTCATCGACATTCTCTAGCAAAATTCCATTTGACCACACTGAAAGCCACGAGTCTATGCCGCCGGTTGTCGCTCCCTTTTCCGGATACAATTCGCGTAAAGGTTCCTGGATGCCTTGCAAGCCGTCCTTGCTCTGCTGCGGCACCGCTGAGCCAAGGTACAAAACACGGCACCGGCAGATCGGAGTGGACTCCATTTCAAACACTACACTATCACATGACACTTATGAACACTTTTATACACTAAAATTAGTAAAGTTTGAGCGGTCGTTGCTAGAACGTGCGGCGGGCGCGAGTCGCGAGCCTGAGTGAACGGAATTCAAGATGGCCGGTGAGTGGGCGCCGCGGGGGTGCGGGGCGGAGGCTTTACCTGCGCTTACGCACCTGTGAAGACGCCTCTAAGGGTATAGGTAGACGGGTAGTGCCGATGAACCGGCATTGTGTCAAATGAATCGTCGCGAATTCGGCCGCATTTCTCTCGAGCGCCGCGTCACCATGCCACTAGCGTCCGCGACGTGACGGAATGCCACACTTTTGTCTTTCTGTAGTGAAATCTGAAGGTCGGTCGATGGGAGATAATTAATTTCATCGTGATTTCATTGCATTTAAATGAGCTCCGGCTGATTGCAGTTTTCCCTATCGAAATCAGCATGTTTCATTGATCCTTCGCGTGACTGCAATTGTAAACAAGACGTCCACTTATGAATCGAAAGGGAGTCGATACACGAGACAAGATAGTTCACTATGAAATTAATTTTCATAAAGAATATACACAATTTACATTTCATCATTAATAAATAAAATGTTAGTTATGATTCCTAATTACTGTCGAGCTTAATTGCAACTCCCAAAATTTCTTACGCACGACATTTTATAAAAAAAAATTCTAACACATTTTTGTTACTTTCGTTATTAAAGAGTGATCGGAATTGCCGGTTGCTATTCTATTAAAAGGTTAAAGCCTAAGTTTAATCCTTTAAGCAAGTATAAATCTAGGGTCTTCTGTAACCCGGATAATCTAATGATTGGATAAGGATAAAACCCATAATGAAATAAAACTTGGGGAAATTTCCGACACAATGGCATTTTTATACTAAATACACTGGCATAAATACTGAGGGTTCAACAACTTATATCGCTTACGAAATAACAAAACAATATTATACTCCGATTTTTAATTCCGTAGAATTCTGACAGCTATAATTTTTTGACATGTCAGTGATGGCAAACCTTTTTGGCCGGGCACATTTTTCAATTGCAATACGAGTCTGAACATCTGAGTCTATACATACATTTTATTGTTAGTTAATATATCCATTTTATTAAGTGCGATGCTCCAAATTAAACGTGGTTTAACGGCGAGTGGTAATTACGTTCCTTTTCATCACAAACAGTAAAAACGCACAAGTAAAGATGACATTTTTTTTAAAGGTTTACTAAACCTGGAATTAGTAGGCAGTGATGCCAGCTAAAGAAGAAAATAAAGTAATGAAAGTTACTTCGATATATTGTTCGTGATATTGAAATATTTGTTATTTTTGTCTTTATTAGGTCTCTTAGAAAGTAAATATTTCGATTTACCTTTTTGTAGGTAAAACATAAAAAATACGTAGTAGTAGTAGTTTTTTTATTGCCCTCAAATAAGTCAAATTTCTTCCTTTTTCGGCGGAGAACTTTTTTAGTAGTGCAACACTTATGAAATGTCAGAATTCCACGGAATTAAAAATCAGAGTTTAGTAGAATATACCATCTTATTATTTGCCTACAAGCTACATGATACATTGTACTTTAAAAATATTTATTAGATTTCAAATTTTGCTAAAATTTTAGCACGCACTAAATAATCTTACTTTTAAAAAATATAAATAAAAATCAGTAGTAAAACACATTATTTATTACAATACAAATATACCTATATATCTATTTTTAGATACTAATATTTTTTGACAGCTCTCGTAATTCATCATTATCACTGTTCCTTGCACTTAGATAAAAACAAAGACGTTTTAATCGTGAATTATATTCGTATGTTAAAATTGAATATTTTTAACATCTGTACGCGGATAGAATAAATTGGTGCAAAGACAAAACGGTGACTAGCCTTTCGGGTTTTACGTAGGTATGTTAATATTTCGGTGTCTTAAAGTTTGGCTCGTCTGAAGATAATTGTGGTGCTTTGCGTTTTTGTATAATATTTTGAATCTGAAAAAGAAATTAGTGTCATACATTGTGAAATCATGTTTAAAATTATTAAATAACAATTACATTTTACTTGTCTAAATTTAAACTGTGAGAATATCTCCAAAAAATATTTATTTGGCCTCTTAAAGAGTCCTTACAGGTCGCTCCAAGCATTTTATCACGGTTAAGATCGATTAGGGCCTAATCCATCTTAACCGCGTATCTAGTTACTAGGACAATGCGGAGGCGCAATTCTAATTTTCTTCTAATTTATAATTTGCGTTCCGACCCAGAACCGACACACAACACGGTCTAAGCATTTATCATGTTAAAAGATGGACATAAAATCTCCTACACAAACTCAGTTTCTGCCGTTGTTGGCAAGTATTTTTTTTTATATAACGGGGCAAATGGGCACTCAGGCAATGCTAGTGTCCAGTGCACGGAAAAATATTTTAAGCACGTCATTGTATAAATACGTTACGTAGTTTTGTAAAAAAAAATTACATAATTTACTACATGACTGTATAAAAGACATAGTAGCACTTGTTTAACCAGTCGTCTACTCTCCTTTTACCCATACAAACATTTCTATTAAGTAATAAATTACCTTAGTTCTGTATGTTACTAAGTAATTAACTTAAACGTTTTTTTGGACTATAATTATTTATCATTATGATTTAGTAAGATAGTTCTACCTGCTGCCATTCCCTATCCAGTTCTGCCTTCTCACTCTTATCTTTCGTCTTCCTTGTCTTTCTTCCGTCTTGTGTCTTCACTCCGTATTGGAAAGCAGCTTTTGGTAGCGCCTCTTTGCTACTCATGTACGCTGAGTACTCTTCTTGGGTATCGAAGTCCCAGCGACCTATTAATAAGATTTCGAAGATGTTTCATGATATTCCTTGTTTATTAAATATCCCCTTGTCAATATGTATTATTAACTTTAATATTATCATAAAAAATAAAGCAATGGTATTTTTGTTACGACGAAAAACCCTATCGAAACTACATTCTTCGGGGCTTACAGAATTTTGACATAATATTTTTACTAGGACTAATTTTTATAGTCTATAACAAATTTATATCTAATCTGTGGCTGTTTCACGCGTTTAGATTCGTCACAATCACATTGAATCTACTAAACAAAAACATTTTATTTATTACATTCGATAACAATCATAAAAGCATAGCAAAGAATATAGAAATATAGAATATAAACAATAAACTATCCAACTAAGTAATAACAAAATCGTATGATTAGTTTTGAAAACTATCCGAATTAATTACCAATAGGTCCTTTCTTATTTCCAGCATCCATCTTGGAGTAATCCACCTCATCATCAGAGTCGTCAATGGCGTCATCCATCTCCCTGAGACCGGGATAACACTCGGCATATCCTTCGGGTTCTGCTGCAAGGCGCGAGAGCAGCGCAGCCGATCGTTTGTCCTTGTCTTCTGGGGCACGCCGGGCTAATTGACCTGGACCTATTTTAAGAAAAACATATATAAAATAATACCCAATTATGCACTAAAAATCCATTATTAATCCAGTTCTCATATTTATGGCAAAGTTAATAAATAAAGATATTTAATACTTAAGTAATCTAGATTAAGTATCATTTAAAATATAATGTATTTAATAATAGCTAGATTACACAAGAAAGGTAGTATTCACTGTATGAGCGAGCATTAATAATCATTGTGCAATAAAAAAGGCCTAATTCGAACGCACGACCAAGCGCACACTCAATTTATATGCAAATAAATAGTTGTAAAAAATTGAATCCTGAAATAAGAATATCATTTTGCGCTGTCAAAACTTACCCGTCTCTTTCTCGGTCTCTACTGGTTTATCGAAGTATCCCGTCCGTGGGCGGTCATCGTGTTTTTCTGTTCGTCTGTCCCCACCCACGTAATCACCAATATCGCCGTATATCGAATCGTCGTTACGACCTTTTTCCTGTAAAATAATTCCCAAAAATCACAATTTAACATCTATGAACAGAAATTCTCTACAAATATAAATGGAAATACTTCTGAGGTAATTATTATTTATATATATACGAATTACTTTTATTATTAGGAATTTATATTATCTATTTTTCATACTATACTATGTGAACTAGCATATTATTAAGGCAATCTGTAACTGACTACGATTTCAAACAATAATAATTTCGCGTTTATATTCATTAAAGATTATTTAAATGTCTGATTTAACGGACCTTCTTTTTCTGCTTCCTATGCCTTCCATGCCTCAAATATGAGAATATCTGCGTCAATTTCTCTATAACCACTTCATTGGCTGCTGATGAAGAGCTTCTTTCATCCAATTCTGGAACATCAGCTTTACTCCTCGTTAGTGTCGTTGGGATATCACTGTCTATTGTCCCTTCATCCTCTAATTCCACAACATATGCCATACGGCCGGGAGCAAATAGTTCATTCCTTGATATCTTCTTATTTCTGAAATTTATTTGTATAAGTCCTACAAAATATGATTAAAAATACGAGAAAAATATGTTACAAATTTTACACACGTAATTATAAACGTTGTGATCAACATAGAAATCACCAAAGAAAAATATTTAGATGCCAAAAAATATAACACACAATCAAGAAATATTAATATAGTCAAAAAGCAAATAACGCAACATTAAAACAAAATTTTAAAAAGAAAAAATAATACAGTAGTAGTACATTTTTTGACGTGAAGTTGCTCTCTGACGTATATAATACTACAGACTAAGTCAACACGATAATGTTGAACAAGAAAATAAATGAACTTGCGGACTCACAAGACATTGTCCTGTACACACGTGTTAGATACAAAATTTAAATTTTTTTAATGATACATCTATATTCTAAACCATCCACTTTCACACAAATCCAAATCCAATTTTACCAAAATCGGTCCAGCCGTTTAGGGACTTTAATAACAAACACGTGCATAGATGATTAATATGTATATACATATAAAGTTATAATAAAACTAATTACGCAGGCAAGAAACAAATAAAAAAAACGACGGGTTGCACTCCAGGAGTGCCGGCAGAAGTGAAAACTTGAATATTAACGTTGTGCATTTTTGATATTTTGGAATGGTTAGGGAATAATTTTGCACGAATTGCTTTAATTATGAGTATAAAAGTACTATCATTTATGTGGTAGAATAAATTTTATTTATTGCGCTATGGTACACAAACATGACAATTTATATTACATTAAATACGCCGCGCCAGCTATCTACTCTCCATCCGTCTTACGAATTTTCGATTCGCGTCAGTCTGACCATATCGTTAATAATAAAGCTTTAGACGTTTCACAAAATTAAACCTTGATGTATTGACTTAAGGTCCAATTCCACATGCATTAATGTGTCTGAGGAAAGAGACAAATGAATTAAAACCGTAACTATATAGTACGAATGTTCATAAAGGCCCATTTACACGATGCCATTTTCTTGTACATACCAGAGCAATAATTGAATGCAATAAATGAAGCGCAATAATTGCCGTTCAAGAATTGGATGCAACTGTTTACACTTGAAAACTTGAATGCTATTATTGTATTCAAGTATTGACAAGGAAATAATTGCACATGCCTTTGTTTACACCAATGCAACTATTTTAAGGAGATTATTGCTTTCAAGTTTTGACTTGTCTAAACACAGGCTTGTACGTGCGTATACCATTTAATGGCGCTTTCGTGCAAGTATTGCACGTATTTGCATTGACAAATTTTTCATTCAAGTCTTAAATATTTTAGAAGAGTGTCGGAGTTTGAATATGTAAATATTAATGTAATAAAGGCAGGTAACACTTGTCACATGTAAAGAAAAAGTTTTAGTTTAGAATATAAAGAATACCTGTTTGAATTTTATATAAAAAGATAGTTTCTGTTTTTTGTTTTTAGTACTTCTATTCTAGACGCAGATAGTGTAACATCTTTGGCTCTTTATAAACATTAATTATTGTTTTTTTTTAAATAGACCCTCACCACCAGAGCTCAGTCTTCTTAAAAGATTAGAACCATCCAACAGAGAGGTATGAATATGAGTAAAAAGGTGTTTAAATTCAGTTATGCTGATATAATAAAGTTCATTGAGATTTATCGCAGTCATGAGTGTTTATGGGATACCGAAAATGTAAATTATAAGAACCGATGCACGTAATGCTGCAGCATTTTCACAGGAATTTGAAGTTGACGGTTTCGGACCGAAGGAAATAACAAACAAAATAAAAAATTTAGACTAAATTAATTTTTAATTTATTTAATTTTTATTTAATTTAATTTAACACACCCTCACTCACTGCACTCATGTTTGCCAATGAAGAGATAATTGCGTACAAGAATTGCGTAAGAAATTATTGTACGTGCTGTTTACATCAATAATAGTTTTGAAAGGAAACTTTTCCCATTGATCAAGAATGTTACGTTTTGTTTAGACCATGCAAATCATTTATTGCGTCGACATAATTGTATGCTACAGGCAAGAAAATGGCATCGTGTAAATGGGCCTTTATTCTTTAAAAAAACATGCGTCTTACGAATTTGTCCTGACGCGAGTTTTACCATTTTTTACCCATTCCAAAGAAGTTTTCATTTCAATAACTTAGGCATTAATAACATTTGACAGTAATCACACAATTCTTCAGATATCATTATGCACTTACTCACTTATAGATGCACTTACTTTAGCTCCATAATCATGTTGTAAATATTTTTTCCTACAGTTGTTTCAAATTGCATTTCTTCTTCCTAAAACAATTTTCAAAAGATGTACCCAAGTTCACATAACAGTAACATTTCAAAATCACCTCATCCTCCTCCGACGGTGAATGCATTAGGTCTCCCCACAATTAACGTTATCATGTTATCATGTTCGACGTTAAAAGGTGTATTCATTGATCTGGCTAATGTAATATAACCAGCAGGCTTACTAGGTCCGAAACTATAGATAGGTTTGAATACTAACACATTTCTGTGTCTGTTTTTTCTTGTATTAACTTACAGCAGGCGTTTCCTTCTTCTCTGTAACAACCTCAATCGGAGCAGACACAAGCCTCTCCATTTCTGCTTCTTCATCTTGCTCATGTGTCTGTATTTCTGAACGAACCTTTAAAAAATTTAAGCCCATACATCATTAAAGTAAAAATAAGTCTGGTAGAAAATACTCGCAAATAACTTTGAACTTTTCCAACTTCCTTATTAATGTTGTTTCATTTCAAAAATGTATTCTTAAATATTCATTTTTTCTAGCAAAAGCTACTGTAGATATTAAAGTAGTTTTGTAATTACCACCAATATACCCATACTCTAGTCTGGTACATGGCACCAATGTAAATAAACCGCTATAAGATGCCTGTTTTATAGGAGAATGTCAAACTTACATACTGTTAATTGTACTCTCAAGGAATGTGCCCAAATAATGTTATTTATTCCAGATATATTTATTGGATAAAACCAAAAATAAAAAGTCAATGAAAATCATATGTTTAAGATACACATGCACAGCTTACAGTGCTCAATGTACCGAACATTACAACCTGATTATAACACAGTTGTCAGATTAAATATCTCTATGAGTTGTCTATATATTCTAGATTAATATGAAAATGAAAAAAACTAATGTACTGCTTTAAATATCAGTCATTTAATTATAATTTTTGTTTGATTGACAAATTTGATTATTTGATAATTATGTATTTACAAACTGTGGTTATAATGATTTAAACATACATATTTTTATTTTGTTTCTCTGGAGTGGTAATATTTTTCTAATCACTGTATATGATTTTAATTATGTTCATAGTTAAAACGCATAGCACTTTGGAACAAGACAAATAAATAGGGATAATACAAGAAAGCACACTGTATTTTATCTTACCTTTTGTAATAAGGCATAATCAAGACCTTTTACCAAGTGAGTATGATTAATGTCACCACCAAGATATTTGGATTCCTGAAAATAATTTTATTTATTACAAATAAGCATAAAGAAATTTCAACATTGCAATACTAAATAAGTTAATATTTATCTTTGTATGCATACAAGACATCCTCAGTAATATTTTTTATGATTAAATAAAAGACAGTTTTGTTTTTGTATTAACTGACAGAGGTATCTTGTTTCTTTGGCTCTTTTAACATTAACTAAATGAAAATACTAATGGGTTAGTAGACCTAGATTGCATATAAAACAAAAAGTAAAACATGCAGGCAAACACAATTACAATAATAAATTACATTTTATGTTGTCTATGGTAATTGGCTACATATACTACAAACCTGAATCATCTGACGTCTTCGCTCTTTTGCATCCATTCCAGATTTTGCATCTGGTGCTACAGCCCTGTAAAATGTAAATATGATGTGAGAATCATATAATTAAAATACAGATAACATTAATATGAATGATTTAATGTTTCCCATATTCCAAATAAAATGTAAAAATAATATACTATGCTAAATAAATAAATTGATTTAGATATATATCTAACCATATGGTTAAAAATAAAATTACAGTTTTAAACACAAATTGATGATTCTTGCAGTATCAGACAACATACTAGTTTTATATGGCTTCATAGATTAGTAAAAAAGTTTCCTCCATACCAAAACTAATAGAAAGCAGATGTCAAGTCTGGTTTGAACAGCACAATGGGTTTGAATACAATTGTAAATGTGGCTTGGTAGTAGCTCGGCTAAGCCCGCACATTGACCATCATACAGTAATATCACTGAATCTTACCTTAAATGAACTTATTCAATGTTGATCTGACATATAATTAAATAGTAGTTACAATTATTTCACATAAATATTAATAAAAATATTAGACCTGTAGGCACTAGTTGTGTTACTCATGGGATCCAAGGGATTTACATCCTGAACCCCTTCCCTTCTTTCACGAGCTCTATCTCGATATTTCTCAGCAAGTTCAGCCAATTTATTGTCTTCTTGTTTTTTCAATGCTGCATAATATGATTTCTTTTTGCGACGCAGTTCACTTTTGTTCTCTGTTGGTGGTGGCATTGCCCTGGAATATGATGTTTCAAAAAAAAAATGGCCCTTATTGATACCATCGCTGTACAGGTTTAATAAAAAATCACAACTCTTGAGCTCTTACTCATAAAAAATATATTCAGGCTAATAACAACTTTTTATGTCTTTACTGCCAACTCTTCATCACAGCAAAAACACATTATGCAAACAATTTCACCGAAAGAGATAAAGGAGTACTTAAAGTACTTGATAAGCAATTAAATTTCGTTTTTATGAATCTATCTATATAGAAATAAAATGGTAAGTAGTTCATGTTTAATACTTACCCTGCGTTTGCCATAGCCTCACGAACAGAACCAACAGGATGTGATCCCGCTGGAGTGGACCTTGGCGTCATAAGAAGTTTCCTAAAATCGTCATTCGTGAGCCTCTGAGAAGCTGGAGTGTCCTCAACACTTCTTTGTTCATCCATTTTGTAATTGATATGGTTGAAATCAATTAATATATTGTTACACTGAAATTACATGAATGTTATATTGATGCTATTCACATATTCAGACTGTTAACATAATCTTAGGCAAAAAATTACATACATTTTTTGCCTAAGAATTTATACATTTTAACACTGCTCCCATTAAAATATCATAAGTACATAACTGTTATGATTTTTTTATATCTTAATGTGAACAGTGAAACAGGTAAACCATCAAACAGTACATACAATTTACAAACAAACCTAAGCCTTGTTTTAAGACTTGAAACGTTATTACAAAAGATCAAAAACTTCGAAGCATAAAACACTCAGCTAACTAAATAGGTTATAGGATATACTAAATAGTTTAGACTTTAAAGTATTAGTAGTAACTACTAACTATAGTCGAATTTTTAATTAGACGAAGCTATCTGACAGTAGCTAATGTCTCTTTTTTTTTTTTTTTTTTTAATTTATTTATTAGCCGGATACAAAGTCCATTGGCACTAATGTCACTTAGTAAAATAATGTTGCCACATTTAAAGTAATAGTGATACATTCAGTTCTTGTTCAATCAGATGAATGAACAATGAGTGAGTGTGAATAGTTAATCATTTCAAACTATAAAATAATATTATTACTATTTTAAAATTGTATAAAAGATTTCTGATATAAGTTAGGTACTAGTAGTATGTAACTACAATCAGTTTTTTGACGGCTGTAATACAGAGCGCGGCGAGGCGACTAGTGCCAACACCGATCGACGCCGCGCGCGTCGGTCGCCATTTTGTTTGTCATTCGGCTTCTAACCTCTGGTCTGATAGCACGAATGTTTTTTCTGCGCTCACGCTGTTTAGTTATAGTTTTTGTTAAGTTTTTCATTACGTTGTGTTTGTGGTTATTGTTGTGTTTTTTATTTCTATATTGTTTCGTAAAAACGATATGGATCCTCAACCAAGCACGTCAAGCCAAAGCTTGTCTCCAAGAAAGAAGAGACCACGGATTGCTTTAAGCGTTACCGAAAAAGTTATGATACAAAACGTCTACAAACACGTATTTGAGGAGAAAGCTGCTTTACTATTACCTATTGAGGCTCCCGAAAAAAAAAGAATGTGTTTCGAAAACAGCTGACATTTTGGGAATTAGCGTGACCTCAGTTTACAGTGTATTAAAAGAATACAAAGAAAATGAACAATTTAAGTCTCCCGAGAAACGTGGACCGAAACACAATTTCAAAGATAAATTAGACGATTTTACTTTGGCCGCTATATATAAGGCGAAAAGTTCATAATTTTTCTTTTTATGCAAATGAGTCACCCACCATTATAAAGGTAACAAACTTTATTCCATCGACTGCATTATATTCTGTGTCCACAATAATGATCTTTGTAAAACCAAAGTATTAGATTGCGTAGACTTCCTTACTCAAAAACGTTTTTTTATTACTTCACAGATTCTTAAGGTTGTCAATGAAGACCCAGACTTACCCAATTTTTCTTGGAGTACATTAAGAAATGTTATGAAACATTTAAATTTCAAATATGTCACAAAATCAAGAAAAAGCATGTTAATTGACAGACAGGACATTATGTTATGGCGCCAGCGATACCTTCGCAAAATTAAAGAGTATCGAAGGGAAGGAAGGTATATTTATTACCAAGATGAAACCTGGATCAACGAAGGTAATTACAATTTTCTGTTTTCTTTACATTAAATTGTACTTTCATTAACTAATTGTTATTTTTCATTATCTTGTAGGTCATGCACCGAAGAAGGCATGGATTGACCAGACAGTGTTATCGACTCGCCAGGCCTTCCTAGATGGCCTGACTACTGGCTTAAAACAGCCTTCAGGAAAGGGCAAACGATTAATTATCGGCCACATAGGTGGGGAAGAAGGATTCGTAGAAGACAGCTTACTAATATTTGAAGCCAAAAAAAGTAAAGAAGACTATCATCAAGAAATGAATGCCGATTCCTTTGATAAGTGGTTTAGTGGAGTCTTGCCAAAACTAAAACCAAATTCCGTTGTAGTGCTAGATAATGCCCCCTACCACTCCAGGAAACTAGAATCGCTGCCTAAAATGTCTTGGACTAAACCTAAAATACAAGAGTGGCTAACGAGCAAAAATATTTCATTCGAAGCAACAATGGTTAAAGCTACTCTTATAGACATTGTACGGCAGCACAAACAAGATCATTTCGAAAAGTATGTTGTGGACGAGATAGCAGCGCAGCATGAGATAATTGTTTTACGTCTGCCCCCATACCACTGTGAGCTTAATCCCATTGAGTTGGTATGGGCGCAGGCTAAAGGATATGTTGCAAAAAATAATAAAACCTTCAAAATGACAGAAGTAAAAAAACTTTTTGAAGAAGGACTTAAACTAATCACACCTGATAAATGGCGTAGCTGCGTGTCTCACATAATGAAAGAAGAAGATAAAATGTATGGTCTCGACGACATGATCGACAATGTTTCAGACAGATTTATTATTAATGTCACCGAAAGCGATAGTGATGATTTTTTATCTGATGATGAATAAAAACAAATTATGTAATAAGCGATGTTTATTATTTTCATTACCAACCTATAATTGTTATATTATTAAACATCTATAGTATAAACTACATGATATATTGAGAATAGGACAGTCTTACAAGTTTCCTCGCAATGATTTCCTTAATGTTAAAAACAATTGGTATTTAGTACTAAACTCGTTGGTATGTTCAAAGCACGACTAAAATTCGAACCCGTATCCGATATCGGCAGTACGCAACGTTAACTATTCACTAGGCAATCGAGGCAATTTTATTAATTCAGGAGTTTTTTCAATCATTCACAAATCATGTGACAAACACAACACTATTTTAAAAACTGACAACACCGTAAACGTCAGTTGATATCGTCTAATTAAAAATTCGACTATAGTACGGACTACGGACAACAACAGGCGCTTGACGGCTTGAGACAAAATCACTTTTCGACAGGCTTGAGTCTTGACAGTTGACCCACGAGCACTTAACAGTTAACGTATTTGTATTAGCTCATGCTTTGTCACGTGACCATTTTCATACAAATTCGTTATGCGTTAGTGGATCACGAGAGTTGAAAAGTGACTTTGTCTTAAGCCACTCTTGATTAAAATATAAAGTTAAATTTGTTTTGATGTCTTTGTTTATTTTTTCTCGCGTGTAGTTTCCCAACATTTTACTTGAAACCGACAACTATTGCCATAATATATTTAAAAAAAACTAAATTTGATGTCACGCCACCTTATGTTCAGCTCCTGAATGACTATATTTAGATATACTTAATGAATGAATTAATAAAAATATATGTTATTAAATTAATTTTTAATCATTTTGTGTCCTAACAATTTTTGGAACCAGACCTATGATAGTATAAGAATTAAGAATGAAATAAAAAAAATATGTGCATGTAATTTATACTGCAAATGTTTTGTGATAATTTACGGCCATTGCGAGTAGTAACCAACACTTGTGAGAACACGGCTTCTTTTACATTTAATAAATGTTTATTTCTTATTCTCTTTTGATTGTGTCTCTATTATATTTAAGTATTCATTGTAAAGTTTAAAAATAATAAAAGAATATCAAACAATTTTATTATTGACAGCCAATTTATACATGATTTTAAATCTAACTACTGTATAATATTTCCTATGGTAAATTATAATATAATATTTTAGAATCTTGTTTATCCAAAAATTGAATGGAAAGTAGTGCCCTTGAATCCAACATTTCCTGTTGGTTCATCTTGGAAAGTTATGTACATTCTGCAACAACAAAAAATACATATAACATACATACAATACATACATATAACAAGTTAAAAGAGTTATTGTTAAGGAATAATAAAATTAAAATTTAGGTATACATATTATAATTTACAATGCATTTTAACTTTTTACCATATTTATATATTTAAATTTTATGGTATGTGCTGTTTGTGATAAATATGTACAATAGTTTAAGATAAGTAAAGGGACACATACATAAAATATATTTAAATATTGCTGTCATAAAAATAATACTTGTACATTGTAAGAATTACAGAATACATTAATAGGTACTCTCTAAACAGAAGCAGCATAAAACCTAAAAATTAAGTTGGTTAAAAATTACAAAACAGATATGATTAAATTAATCCCAACCTATCATTTGATACACCCAATTCTTTTTCCACTAGCTCAAAAAGAACTTTAGAATGCTTTTTGTTTTGTTCTACACCAAGAGCTCCAATAGACATAAGGTTAGCAATAGCACAAGGTTCTGTAGTGCCTCCAAAACTCATTAGTAGGTCTGGAATCACAGTCACAACACAGTACTGAAAGCAAATTTACATGTTTTGCAAAATGTAATTGAAACAATTTTTTTATGATCAATCAGTATACTAATAACTTACTGATTCTGGTTTGCCTAGAGCTTTAGCCAAAACTGGCACCGTTTTGGTAACAAAATCATGTGGTATTTTAGATTTTGGGACATTAGTCTCAATGCGAAAATGCGGCATTCTGAAAAACGATTATAGTAATATCAAATAAAGTGTACAATACAATTATTATGTCACTTTACTAACAATTTTTTGTTACAACTGTTCTTGAATTTTAGTATCAAATACTAAATAGAATGTTCCATAATCTTATTATTTAATATGTACCTTTAGGTTTAAACTTTAAACACCACTATCTTTGAAATTGTGTGTTAAGTGCTTCTAGCACAGTACTCGGTATTCGCTTTTACCAATTACAAAATAAACTAGGATAAGTAAGATATAATAATATAGAATAAAAATACGTTTATCCTGTGGTTCAACCTTTATAGTAGAACAAAACATAAAGCATAGAAACCGTATAGAAAGTAACAGGACATCTGTCACCTACTCTTAACCTATTATAATATGACTTTATTGCATGAATTTAAAGGTTTGCTAAACAAAAAGAAAACAACAAAGAAACAATTATCATTCATCGGATAGTTTTTAATTTTTGAAGTTATACTTCTTTAGGCGCGTTATGAAAAATTGATGAGAGTGAAATTTGACGATGCGCGCGCACCGTGACACAAAGTTAACAGAATGAAGTTGCCCACGGAAGATGCTACGGCATTGGACATAATTTAAAAACAACATTCGAATAATAATAGAATTTATGTTACACTTAATGTAAGAGAATAATAAAAAATATTTATTTATTTAATTTTTCAAATGTAAACTGAACTTTATTGACTATAATGACTCCTTTTCCAGTCTTTGATTATTTAATTTTACTTAATTATTTGCATGCAATCAAAAACTATTTTAATAATGCCAAAGAAGTATAACTTCTTACGCGCGTACATAAGTACACGCACCTATAACACTACAACTATAACTACTTATATCATATATGTAAGGTTTTGCGTGGCGCCGTGCGAAATGCGAGTGTGAGTGACCAGATTTATAATCTCGTTGGTGTCTATGGTAGGTTCTTTACCTATTGGATAGTAGTTGATAAAACTATATCCATATTCTGTAAAATCATGAAATTTGTCTTCAATGTTGTTACAGTGTTACTTGTTAGTCAGTTGACAGTTCCGACTTCTTAAAACTTAAAGTATTTCTATAATGTGAGTTTTGTGCAACATACTTATGTAGATTTTGATAATAATTTCTATCATTTTGATAGCTTCATTGTTCTTTGGTACTGAACTGTATTGTTAAAATTATTTGTTCACCTTTGATTTTATGTAAACTTGTGTAGCATCATATTGATGATACGGATAAAATATGATTATCAAATCTTGTATCTTATAACCCTACCGATCTTCTCAAGTAGTTTTAAGGTGAGTGGGGGAAGATTGAACGGTTTTTTGATGAGATGAGCAGAGTTGTGTTTGAACCTCTTGTAGAACAATAAATATTAACCTGTACTAATTAATGGCTTTGATTAGTAAAGAGCAATAACTATACTTTTATTTTTTTATGTAATTATTTTCTCTGCTTTGGAATTGATTTAACAATATGTTATTGATATTATAATATAAAATCAAAATAAAAAGGGTAAAGATAAAAACGTGACGGGGAAAGATTGAATTTTTTTCTAAAATCGTAAAATTAATGTAAGATGTCGCCAACGGTTTTAAGTCTAGCCTTTAGTGTCTTGAAAACTTAAATCTGACTTTAGTGAAAAAATACCTTTATTTAACAGACATTCTCATACAGACAGACGAAACGACCATTAAATTTAGGGGATGTATTTTTTTGAATTGGACTAACGGCCGTAAAAACATCGCTGTATATTATTTGCATGTGCCATGTCCCTTCTTTCGGAATAATATACGGGTCAGTATGTTAGTCTATGACGTTTACAGAATTTAAGTAAACCAATCTGGTCCTGGAACATGGTTCTTTAATGTGGTAATATAGCGTTCCACAAGAAAATTTACTTCTTTTCTAGATAGCTCAAAACCCCATTTTTCCAAAACTTTAAGGCCATTCGCTAATCTTTTGAATTCACGAGCAAAGACTGGAGGGTGACCTAATGTAATACTATTAACGCCGGTTTTTATTTTTAGTAAAAATTGAGATAGATAAGATAGTTATTTTTTTTTACATATCTTTGCATATTCGGTAATGTATACCTACATAGTCCCGTGGAAATATGAACGAGGTACGTTGCCAATTTATTTCCTGTTACCAGTTAAAGTTTGAGACTGACTCAATGTTTGTATCACACTTGGGAATAGAGTAAGATCGAAACTTTTGTATATTTATCTTACCTCGTAATTTTTTTTGGGTAAAGATGGAAAGTTGAGGTATTTCCTAAATGACAAAAAATAGCCGTATTTTGATGTGATTTCGTAAATAAGAATAAAAAGCTATAATTAAATATTCATATGAAACAGTCGTACCTATCTTGTAATTAAAGTTACAGTACACGGGGTAAGATCTAATCACTTGAAGATTATACGAAAAAATCACGACTCAGAAATTGTACAAATTTACGCAATCCACGCACTCTGGGCGGCTTACTTCGAATGTGGTTTAGAACGTTAGAAACTGGCGGTTTTAATAAAAATACCAGCACTCAAAAAATACGTTAAAATCGGTGTTAAAAACGATTTATTGTCTTACCCCATTTTTCATCTTGCCCCCACTTACCTTAAAGGCCGATTTACATTATCTTAGTGTTTAGGAGAGTGCTTTAGGATAGTACTTTAGTTGAAACATGTAAACGCTACTTGCTTTAGTAAACGCTACGCTAAAGAACTTGCCTTTCAAGTTGTACTAAAGCACTCTCCTAAACACTAAGATAATGTAAATCGGCCTTAACATAATATACAAATCATATGTATTTTTAAAAATTAATAAACTTTTTTTACAGTATGTGTCTAAAGTCCAAATTTTATTTAATAACAGTTACTTCATCAAATGTTGAGTAACAAATTTTTAGTAGGTACCTAATTGTTAATTAACTAATTTTATGATTAGGTCAGTTTGATTTTTATTAATAACTTGCTTGTTAGTCAATAATTAAGCACTCTCTGATTTAAAAAAGCTTGTTTATTTACTTATTATCTATTTGTTTTATTAATTATACTTAGTGTAATAACTAATGCTATAATAACACCTTTTAAACAATAATCTATAAGTATTCAGAACAGCTACCTTATATGCCAGTAGTCTTTTGTCTTTACGTTTAACTGTAGTGTTACATTTATATTTCATTTTTAGCATTTTTAGTTTGGAAATAAACATATAAATGGGGGCAGAAAAATCCAAACCTGAGTAAGTATTTTGTTGAAATGAAATCTCTTTAATAACAGATATGTACGCAATTTTTTACATTATTTATATACACTTAGAAATAAAGGGTGCGTAAGAAGGTATACTTCTTTGGCATTATTAAAAATAGTTTTTGATTGCATGCAAATAATTAATTACAATAAAATAATCAAAGACTGGAAATGGAGTCATTATAGTCAATAAAGTTCAGTTTACATTTGAAAAATCAAATAAATAAATATTTATTATTATTCTCTTACATTAAGTGTAACATAAATTCTATTATTATTCGAATGTTGTTTTTAAATTATGTCCAATGCCAATGCAATTTTGTGTAACGGTGCGCGCGCATCGTAAAATTTCATTCTCATCAATTTTTCATAACGCGCCTAAAGAAGTATAACTTCAAAAATATAATTATTACTACTAATTGCATGGGTATTTTTAGTGACGTTTGTCATTTTTCGTCAGTACTAGCGCTAGCTGCCGCAATGACTTCTTCTCAGTTGCAGTTGCTGAAACCTAAAATTCAAAACCGCCTAGCATGCCGCATGCCGCCGTCTATTATGTTTCATTGTTTGTTAGACAGGCTGAACCCTCATTTTTCAAACCCAACTACTTATTCATACATTGTTTTGATAATATTATTTATATTTTTGTATGTTTATAGATCGAACATAACTGACTATGAACTACAAGTTGCACTTGAAAAACAAAGAATAATATATGAAAAGCAGACACAAGCTTTATTACAAATTCAACGTGACGCTTTAGCTAAATCACAGGAAAAACAAAGGTAATTTTTTAAAATAGTTTCAACAGAATTTGATAAATTGGTAAACATCCTTAATCGTTATGGTGATAAAACGGCTTAAAGCCGCGTATCGACTACGCGCTCCAAGAGGGCGAACAATGGCGCGCGTTCCAGCCGCGCGAAATGGATACCACTTAACGGGCGTCAATGTGTTCGTTGGAGCGCCCGAACGCGGAGCGGTCCATTCCGACGGATGTCGGTTTTTACCGCACATCAGTCGTGGCGCGTGTATCGTTCCGATCGTGGAACGTGTTCCGCGGACCAAGGCTCTCGTGGCGCGTGCTCCAGGAGCGCGTAGTCGATACGTGGCTTAAATCAATTACGTGTGCCAGGAACAAGGCTGATCACCTACTTGACCAGGTTACTGGATTTTTATTCTATAGGTACTTGCTTTATCAAATCTTAAAATCTATTCTCCTAAATTTCTCTGTCATTGATTGTTATTTATTGATAGCCTTATATCAGAAATACAAAATATATACATTATAACTGTTGCTTTTCTCAATCTACGATAGCCGATTCTGTGTGCCTACGGGCAAAGGCCTCCCCCTTTGTTCTCCATTTTTCCTTATTGTATACCAATCTCGTCCAGGTCTTAGTATTTCCAGCCATTTCCATTTCTCTGTTTTTTTTTATGGCCTCTTGGTTGCCATAGTGTTAAAATTTTGCTCCATTTATCTGCTCCTCTTTTGGTATGTCCAGCCCATTTCCATTTTAGTTCTTTTGTTTTGAATGCAACGTCAGCAAACCCTGTTTTATCTCTTAAATTCTCGTTACTTATTTTGTCAATTCTTATTTTCTTTATAATACTTCTTTCCATGGCTTTCTGGGTTACGCTTAATCTTTCACATTGTGCTTTGGTAAGTGCCCATGTTTGGCAGCCGTATGTGAGAATTGGTAGGATTTAGATCTTATTTATTGACATTGATTGTTATTATTGCTTTATAATATTTAATTCAACTTTCAGAACAAGTGAGGCAACAAGTAGCACTTCGAATACCCCAGGTTCATCGGTTACTAATTCAATATATCCTAATCTGCCAGGCCCTTCAAATCGGAACCCATTCTCCCCGCCAGATTTACCCCTTAATAGGAATTTGTATGTGCAAAATGTGGAACCAGCCTATTTAGATGGCAGTTTTCAGGTTCCCACTCGATCTTTGTAAGTTTATTTATTTAATAGATTACACCATACATTTAAAATAATAATCATGGCCTGATTGTTTTGTTAAATGAGCCAGCGGATATTTCCATACCATTGAATCGTCAATGTTTAACAATATTTCAATCAATGTTTCGTTGTATCATTAATGTAGAATACCATATTAGTTCTACTTAAATTTTCATTATGAAATAACTTAAATTTTTAATTATTATAGTACTTATTAACTGATTCAGTTATGTATGTGAGTCGAAATTTAGTTGTTACGTACTATTTCTTGAAAGCCATTATTAACATCCTTGTTGTTTAAAGAAGAAAACAGTTGGGGTTACTAAACAAAAACAACTTAAAAATGTCAAAACAATGTGTTTATTCCAATTTCCATGTCAAAGTATATTTCATTTTCTTCCTTATTCATCATTTTTTCTCATCTATGTTTAAGTACAACGCTAGATTTAATACATTTTTTTTTAGAACACCAACAGCTCCACCGCTATCAATTTATGAGCAAGAAACGCAAACTCGGTAATAATAATTAAGTATTATGTTACTACTTTATCGAACAACTCCTTCTTGGAATTACGAGTATGTATAATTTTAATCAGCTCACGCTCACAGATGAATGAGCCTATGTCATTATTTTCATAAGCTATTTTAACACGAACTTATTTCGTATTTTAAAACATTACATTTATATTGGATTGGATAATATATACGATAATTCAACCACAGCCTGCCATAAAATTCTTAAAGTTGCAATTAGAATTCTGCCTGTCCGTTTAACGCGCTAAATAATACGTGGCTAAAGTAGTAAGGTTTTGTTTTCAGTGCAAAAATGCAACCGCGTCGACCACAATCAATTGATCATCCATTCAAGTATCGTATGGTAAGTATCTTTTTAAAGCTAAAGCTAAACAGAGTTTTGTTAAAAACTATTTAAACGTACATTTTGTGTAAATTCTATCAGCTATTATTTAAAAACAGATTGATCAGTCCAGATTTGCGTGATATCTGCATGAACCTACTAAAGCAACCTTAATAATTTTTAATTACAGCGCTGTCCTAATTGGATATATGGATGCTCATTACATTTTGAAAAACATCAACTTACTGCCCACGTAGAAGAATGTCCTTACAATGATTTAATATGTCCCATGAACAGTTTAAATGGTTGTTCATGGAAAGGTAATTAAATTATTTTTAATTTTTAAATTATATCTTGAAGTTACATACTAATTCTCATGCACAGAATAACGATTTAGAAGATCTTATCTTAATATGTATTTTACTTAAATTCTTTAACTGGAATTATATTCATGCAGTTACAACTAGGCACAAGAAAATAAGTGAACTTCATAATTCTGTTTACGTTATGTATAATACAATAAATGTATATAATACGAATTTTATAATATGTAATTTGAGTTTTAAGGATATTTGAGATAATTTCGAATTAGCTGATTAAATAACTTTTAAGGTTTGTTTAATATCATACATTAATATTGCAAACGATAAAATCAACATTCCCAAGCGAACATCGACAAAAACTACTTTGACCATTGATTAAAGTTAGTACATTAGAAAAAATCTAATTGATTTATAAATTAAATTGATATCGTTTTCACATCTGCGGGAAAGGTTGTTACATAATTCAGCCGAAAATTGCGTCAAATTCCCGGCGAAAATGGAAAATGGAACAAACTAAAATTTGATGTAACTTTTGAAATAACGGCTTTTATACAGTAAAGTATTATGTATGTGTCAGTCAATGCCATGTCTAATTCCGCAATTTTATATTACAGGCAAGCTTGACCATATCAAAGTGCATTTCGCCGAAGTTCACCCTCAATGTTCAAAAATCCAAATAAATAAGGAGGACACTTTACACATCTGTGGTAACTATCAGTTCATACATTTAATTACTCTTGACTCGTACAATTTTTTATTGCACCTACAAGTAGACCAATACAAGAAACAAGTTAGCTTTGGAGTGCAACTTATCGGTTCAAAGGTCAGCGCAGCGAAATGGACTTATGAAATTCGGGTCTATAATAAAAAAGAACCTCGGAGGTTATTCGAGTACGTTGACAAATGCCACTCAAATTGTGTACCTCTCCAAGATATCACCGACCAATTTGCGATAATTAGCCTCGACTATGCCAAAACATTCTCAGAACAAGATGTAATAACATTTAAGATTTTCTTGAGAAAAGCTGTTCGTCCAAGTGAAAGAAAAGTACAACATGAAGAGAAACCGCCTCACGGTTTTTTAAATAAAAGATGGCAAACTAGGAAGCTAATTTAATTGAAAATTTAAATCAAGTAGCGCCGAGGATTATATAAAAACCATCAATTAATGAGGAAATTTTTTGACCATTTATTTTAAAATCTATCAATAAAAGAAACCCAAAAATGTTAGAATTTTGTTATAGTATTAATAGTTGATTAAAATTTGTATTTAGACCGCAAATGTCCGTCAAAAAATTGAACTTTAATTTTGAGCCTAATATAAAATGTGTAAATTTTCTTTATTAAAGTTTTGCTAAATATTTTATTTTGTTTGATAAAATCAAAATATGTTTGATTACTAAGAAAATAAAATAGTCAGACACGACAACCCCACTGCACCAACATTAAAAAAAATAGTATACATTAATCACTTGGTAGCTTATCTAGTAAATTAGTATTTAATTTAATAATTTGCCGCTTCATTCGTAAAAGCCCCAACAGTCATTATTTTTCTAAGCTATTTCAGTATTTTTTGAAACAAGAATCTTTATGACATTAATTGGTAAAGTTCTGTTACAAACCTAAGTGTTTAGAGACACTAATTGCTACTTGCTAAGTTCACAGTTTTTTATATAATAAACCTCAGAGTTAATAGTTTTAGGTTTACAAATTTAACTATTTACACAGCATGTAATTTCGCTAGGGATTTACTTATATACTTAGCTTAACTTACTTTTTTATGTTTATTCCTTATCTTACCAACTAAATCTGATGGACTCTTTTCAAATCCTTTGCCCATTCTATTGAACAGACACTACAATGTAAAGTATATCTAGTAGACCTGCCAGATCAATTAATAAACCCACACGTGCGATGACGCGGGGCTTTTCATATTTACCAGAGCTTAATGTTTGTAAAATTTAACAAATTTGTAAATTAGGATTTATTCAGAACAGATTCATGCCTCAATATATTTATATATATGGTCACGAACACAAAATTGGACCTAAAGGTGCTAGTTGAGATACACTAAAAAATTGGTTATAATTAATGTAAAAAACCTAATGTAAAATAGGTGATGAGATGACATTTCCACTGACAAACTTACAAAAATTGTGGCGCTCCTAGAATAACATTAATTGTGGTTGGTAGAGAAGCATGACTCCTGCACTTACGATGAAACCAGGCTTGGGTGGGATGTATACTGTATAAGTATACAAATAATATTATTGCTAAAGCAATAAATAACGCAGAATGTACATCCAAAATCAATAACATAGATTAAAATTTATGATGGATGATCCAACCCAATCCTGTTTGGCATTTGGCTAAAAAAATCGCTTCGAAAAAAATCGATTTTACATAATATCTTTACTACGAAAAAGATATGAGTTGGAACATCCTTTCATGGTTGTGAATTTAATGTATATTAGTTATATTAACTTGTGAAATGTTTATTTTTTTGAAGTTGTACTTCTTTAGGCGCGTTATGAAAAATTGATGAGAGTGAAATTTTACGATTGCGCGCGCACCTATGACACAAAATTGGCAGTGTGATATAGCGTGCGCGAGCGAGATGGGAATAAGACAAACTACAAGTAAAAGAAATAGAATATGCGTGAAGCTAACTTCACGCATATTCTAGCTTAGCAGCTTAACAAGAATTTTGAATGACCATGACAATTGACATCTGACAATGACATTTACCTTTTAAACAAATATAGGAGTTTTAATTATTGTTTAAAATTAATAATTATATACCTAGTTATTTTCATTATACAAAATATTTGTGAAATAATATAAAATATTTGTGAAAAACTGTGCTAACCTTCCTGAGTGCTTCAATACAATTGAGGTTAACTATCCGTATGTATTATCGAGTATTATTGTTGATTAAAACTGAAACATGAACCATTATTCATTGCTTTTGTTTATTGCGTTTGTTACAGCAACTTTTTAGAAATATTCTACGACCCTATATATCAATAATTGAGAACAAAGATTTAAGCACGAATACTAATAAGGAGAAAATGAAGGCTTGGAGCGATATAACAGAGAAGTAAACATTTTAATAAGTACCTGCATCTCAAAAAAATGACCACATTATTTAATCAAAACATCAGATTTAATCTAGCAAATATAAGGACAAGAGACAAAAAACAATTGATGAATCAGTGGAAGTGCACTAAATTGAATACAAAAAAAGAGTTGTCATCTTATCGCCGTGAAACATCAAAAACTGGAGGTGGAACAAAGCCACCATCACCTTCTCGAGACACAATGGTTTGAAGTAGATTTCAATGAATTTGATTGTGATGGTGTCGAGGTAGGAATGTTAATTATAAATATGATGTATGGTGATGTTCAAGGTTCAACCTTTCAAGCATAGGCATATGCTTACAACATTACTTTATTCCCCTACAGGGTAGTTAGAGATATTGTAATACCTCAAAACATCCATGTTGCACTTGTAGTACCGAAACTCTGTCCTGCCAGAAGTGAGCCCATTCCCACTTATAATGGACAGTGGGTATAATACACCTTAATACCTGAGTGCGAACCACTCACCATGATACTTAAATTAATAGATGTTATTTATATATTTCAGGTTATTACAAATAAAATCATTTTGGAAACAATTGATATCCCAAAAGCAAATAAAGCCAACAATGACAAGGTAATAAATCAGTTTTGACATAACTTGAATACTAAAAAAGCCAAACAAAGGTGTGCACAACAGTGACAACATAACTTAACAATTTCATTATTTTGTAGGATTAAAGAAAGGTTAAAGAAAATCATGTCGAACTGAACAACAAGAATCCCCAAACAACTCCAAAGAAACCTACAAGGAAGACACCGGTATTATATTTAAATTATCTCTATCTCTAAATAGAATAAAAGAAAGTTGCTATCCAGGTCTGTAGCATGTGCTACAAATTATATTATTAACACATTTATATAATTATATTAATATAAATGTGTTAAAAATTTATAATATGAATTATAAAAAATTTTAAGTTTTGCATGGACAGAGCTTAAATTAATATTCTCTTATTTGTTGCAGAAAGCAAGTAGTTTTGGAGAAGCCTCGTAGATGCACAACCAAGTAATGATTAATTTAAAATTACAAACCGAAATTCTGATGAAGACATTAGAGTCACTTAAAAATAAATAGTATAATGATATAAAAATGTTTTAAAGATAAATAGTGTTTTATTTGTTTAATGTAAGAGAATAATAATAAATATTTATTTAATTAATTTTTCAAATGTAAACTGAACTTTATTGACTTTAATGACTCCTTTTCCAGTCTTTGATTATTTAATTGTAATTAATTATTTGCATGCAATCAAAAACTATTTTTAATAATGCCAAAGAAGTATAACTTCTTACCGCGTACATAAGTACACGCACCTTTATTTTTTTTTAATCTTGCCACTTTTTGAATACATACCTACTAGACATAACTTCTTCTTTTAGTGCCTCTCCATTACTGGAGGTTGGCCGTCACTACTTGACCTATACAGTATACAATCATTATAATCTCAAATCTTAGTATTTTCAAATTGCTGGTAAGGTCAAAAATACTTTAAGGTTCTAAGGCCTTTACTAATAGGTAGGCTTAAGTTTCTGTATTCGTTTTATATTTAATCAGTTAAAATGTGTATTTAATTGTTTGTATTCTATAGTTTTATATCACTATTCGTGTGAATAAATGATTATAAAGATTAGTTTTTATTAATATTGCTATTATATTAACTACATAAATATTTGGTAGTATCCAGCATCACCACATCAATGACTTATAATGAAGATGACAGATCTTCCCGTGAATAAAACAAATAAAATAAAACCATTTATCATTTATTTCAATCAAATAAAATCAATCAACATTTACATAACCACAATTATTGTGGTAATTATCGCAATTATTCATTCACACTTAATGACAAATAAAATAATACTAAAACTGAACACATATTTGGTAAATTTTAATTCCACCTTAAAGCCTTGTTGGACACAAGTGGACGGCATAGTACCCTACCAGCCTGAGATCAAATTTACATTTGCCGTACCTTTATTTTCTTGGTGATCAAAAAATTGTTAACCAATATAGAAAAACACCTTGTTCTTATTATGGTTAAACCTGATCATAATTATTAATATAAGTTCTTTATGTTTCTTAGTGTAATTTTAAAGAACTATATTAACTCATGACCTTATTCATGCAGTGCCAATACATGATAAACAATATGGTAATACATGCCTTATATGTATGAATATGATTTTAGTAAACTTATACTAGCAACCTACTAACACCAGCTAACTTAGTTTAAGGGGCATAGTAATCAGATCATATTTTTTTTTACTTTTGGTTGTGTTAAGTTATCTGTAGCTGTTTATATCATTAATGATTTTTCAAATTTAAAGCTGATACAACTTTATTAGCGAGAAAAAACCATACAGCTTAAAATGAACAATGTAATATAACATTATATGATATACCTGAAAATAAATTGCTATCTATAATAAAAGATCTATTAATTATCACACTCCCTGTATGTAATCACACACTTATACTTCCCAGAAGTCATTACTATTAAATGACTAGGTCACTCACAAACTTTTAAGTGTTTAAAACAGTGTTTCAAATGTAGTGCAAGTGTACCAAACAGTAAAATCCACAAAGTGTAAAATACATTTTTCTTCACCTCATTCCCAACAATTGTTATAAATTTTTTGAAGCAGACAAACTACATAATTGTTTTCTCGTACTTTGTTTCTTGAAACCAAGTTTCAAAAAGGAAATTTTCAGATACATTTTTTTTCTAAAGATGTCTTCAAACTTTCTTAGATTTTATATCACAATTGTCGTCCAGAACAAGGTAGAAATTAGTAATATGTGCTTAAAATTTTTAGTAATTGTACATGAAATAATATCACACATTTTTAAGTTTTGTACTTGAAGTACAGACAAGTACTTAATAATTTAGTGCCAAAACAAATAAAATTTATGATTCAATTGTTGATTCCTCCATTATAGGCATAATCAGCTTTGTTATGCATCACAAGATGGTTGTCAACAAAGTAGAAACTGTCTGAGCAAGTTTCAAACGGGGCAGCAATCATTTCTTCAACTGAAATTAAAAAATACAGTTGGGAATTGAATAAGAATGTCTATTTCTACAATGATTTTTCTTTAAAGGTATGTAAGTAATCAGTTTTCTGTTCCTAACATATCTAGGCATATCAGTTTCACAACACTTTAATTTAAATTGTATGTGGTTCTGTTAGTAGCCATACATAATTATTTATTTAGCATAAATTATTAGTCAATTATTGAGTTCTTTAGAATTTAACTCAGTCAGACAGTAATTCAGTAATTAACAGAAGTGTAAAATTAATCATATTTTATAGTATTAGGAAATAATTATCCTAGTTGTAACTAAATGTATACTACAGCTACAGTTAATATTGCTAATGTAGAACAGAAAGTCAATATCTATTACATTAAATAAAATTTTACCAAGATCATGTGGAAGAGTAGGAAACTCATAAATATGTTCACAGGTATTTCTTGAAAATGGAATACAGAACCCAAATTCAAAATCAAATGTTTTCAGTAGTGTATCCCGAAAGAAATGCTTTTCAATCATTCTGAAGTGAGTAACTGGTCTTGCCCCAACAGTAAATTCAACTCTAAAAAAGAAAATTAATTTTAATAACTTGTATTTCTTTGACCTACCTATCTGGTATAGGCTATATAAACTCAAAATTTAACTGTAAATAAACATGATAAATAAAAATATTAATGTCAAGTGATTTTTAAATAATTTCTACACTATTACACATGATCTCAAGTCTAAATCTCACCCTTAGTGACTAGGGATCCTTAGGCACTGGTATTTAAATCTGTTAAGGTTTAAGGTGCCCTACAAGGGTACTAGCCTAAACTAGCCTAACTAGTATAAACCAGCAGCTTTGTCACCAGTCATTAGACTGGTGACAAAGCTGCTGGTTTATACTTTATATTCTTTAAACAAATATACAATCTTGGTCCTAACTACTTACGTGGCACCAACGGTTCGCAACTTTAAAAACTGCGGCGTAAATTGGTATCGTACGAACCGCCCGGCATTGGGGTCCAACGGATCATCAGATCCATCTTCACCGCCCTCATTATCAACACCGAAGTCTGTTGGGGGTTTAGCAATCTCGAAAAGAACCGTACCCGTTTCCAAATCACGAATTTTAAATCTCGTAAAATCTATATCGTATACGTTTGCTTCAGGACTACACAAGTAGGTATCTGTAATTTTGTCTAACTTCAAAACATCATCTGGAGTAACTTCACTAAGGATTTCATCTCTACTTGCTTCAACAAGGGATATTGATTCGCATTTGTTTCCTACCAAACTCATTTTCATAAGAATAAATTGGGAGCAATAAAAACAATAGTAATTTAAATCATATTTTTATAGTTTATTAGGCGTTTAGCTTGATTTATTTATGGTAAATCTAAACGGCATTAATTTTAAATTTGTATATAAAATTCGAATTGTTTAAGCCAACTGAACTAAATAATTAGGCAAAAAAATCGACCCTACAAAATATACTTGATTCAAAAACCGAAATTATGACGTTAATCGATAGGAAGTCCTCTGTAGTCTGGCCCAGAAATAACCACAGATTTAGAAGAGGGAATTTCAAGTTTATATAAGTATTGACTTAGGTATTTATTTTTTCGAATACTCTATGGCCTAGGGCTTGAGACACTCTCTATTCGATATTAATGAAAGTAGTCACGTGACAAAGCGTGTACTAATGTCATTCCAATACAAAACCGTTTAGGGCCGATTTACATTATCTTAGTGTTTAGGAGAGTATTTTAGTACAAGTTGAAAGGCAAGTTCTTTAGTGCTTTAGTGCGTTGCGAGTGAACGTTTACATTTCTTCCAGTAGAGTATCATTACAGCGCCACAATGAACGCGCAACGACGTCAGCAAATACGCTCTATTCTACGCAAAATACTAACTGTAGTTATGGAACAAATAGAAGACGAGATTTTATTCGAAATAAATAAACTAAATATGAATAATAAATAAAATAGCTTCTTTTAAGGCAGTGTATGCCGAATGCCTAGCCTGTTTGTTTTTGTATAAATTGTTTATGACGTTCCACAAACATTCGTGAACAATATATTCAGACACAAATTTGATAGTTGTATCTTCCGACCATTTAGCCATCTTTAAAAATCAAAAAACACGGACGCGTTTCACGGCACTTGTGCACTCTCCTAAAGATTGTACTAAATTACGTGTTTACACACAACGAGGGAAGATCTCGGGAGTTGCGTGGGCGCGGGAGGGGTATCACTTGAAACAGAAATAAAAAGCGATTCTATTTTGATTCAACTTGAAAGTCAAGTAGAACCGTACTAAAGCAAGTAGCGCTTACATGTTTCAACTAAAGTACTATCCTAAAGCACTCTCCTAAACACTAAGATAATGTAAATCGGCCTTTAGCGTTAGTGGATGGTGTGGGTGTAAGTGTAACTTAACACGTTCCCGGTTCCAATACAAAAATGCAAAATTGGCCGACAAGTCCAATAGGTTTTTTTTTTAAATTTTATAGTCATATGCGTAGTACAGTAGCGGTAGTATTAATTTAATTTAAAAAAAAAACCGGATGTAGGTAGGATGTTTTTCATTTACCTTAAAAAGACACGGTTCATGAGAGAAGGGAGACATTTTTGCTTCTGCACGTTCATGAAACACATGTGGTTCAGAGGACTTTTTTGATTTTCAAAAGTATTTGTATGTGTAAATACTTTCTTATTATTATTTATGTATTTTTCACGACATTTACATGTCGACATAGGTCGCGACCCCGAGATTGCTGATTTGGATAAGCCAGGCAGTGTCGTAGTTCAGTTATTTGATGGTCTTGCGAGTGCAAATACATTGATTAACAGTCCAAGACCGTCTACTAGCTCGATCGAAAGTCAGCACTTTCTGTCTAAAATTCCGCGGAAAGAGGACAATAAAATTGTCCGAAAACGATGCCAAGCTGGATGCTACGAAAACTTGCGAAAAGATTATAGAAACTGAGAAATGGCTGCAAAAAGAGTAAAACGAGTAGATACTGAGTGTTTGCAATGCAAAAAACGTTTTGTTTATCCTATTTCCAAAACAAACATAATAAGAAATAGTTCATAAATAATTTGTATATAATATATTAATATTTTTTCGTCCCGGCGTTTTTCTTTACAATATGATCGTACCAGCACGTCTAACGCAGAAACAGTACAGTTCAAGCACGTCCAGTGGAATTATTCGCTTTAGAAGTTGTATATAATGTCTCCTGACGCACATATGGCTCAGGAGCGTATTAATGCTTTTCAAGCGCACGTTTCCTGAACCAGATGTGGTTCAGTGGACAGTGAACGTGTTAAGGCCCAGGGTAATATCTTTTGTATAGTATTGCTGATACCGTAATACGGAGAGGTGTTTACGCAAGCTTTTTCTCTCGGCCTTCACCCTCTGTCTTCTTTGCCGATGAGTAGGGATGTCTAACAATACAAATTTAATGACGTAGAATAAGTGAAACCTGTACCTTATATTCCATATTAAACATATATATTACGTTTTATTTTGATAGAGTAGTTTAAGAAATAAAGTCTAAATCATAGAAACCGCGATCAAATAACAAATTATAGCTTTAGTTCTTGCTCAACATTATTTGTCATAGGTTTTACTAGGTTTTATAAATTTATCGTAATGTAATTAAAACAAAACTACTTTAGAATAAATGACAAGTATAGTTCATAATATTATATATCATAGTTTAACAATGTTACGAATCGATTTGAACGCATCTATAACGTTGACGCAATTTCCGCTTAACACGATAGGTTGAAGTCTGATTTCTGAATTGAAGCATGCGCATTGTCATTTTCAGTCATTGAGTGGTCAAAGATTCATTGTTTTACAATTTACAATTACATTTATCAAGATAAAATAGGGCGAACGCTCAAGTGTTGAACTGTGATAAGTTAATTCTAGGTGTTAGTGAATTATCTAATGTGCATATAAGTGAAAAGTATAATATCAATATGCTTATCAAAGAATAGTAAGTATTGTAAAGGTTATATGCTCTAATTGAGAAAATAAATCGATTTTTAACAGTCAGCAAAAAATTTAGAATTGCTTTCGCAAGTGATATCGTGAAAAAAATTGTTTTATACGGCTACCATCTTAAACCAGATTAAAATATAAGTACAGTGTCTTTTAACGTTTGGCTAAACTCGACAAATAATACAACATTTTGAACATATGTATTGTAAGCAACTAAAAAACTAACTAAAAACTAAAAATATTCTTTCTTTTTCAGTCGTGTTACACTACCATTAACAGTTGAAGAGGTAAGATTTTTACCAATTACTTAGGCTTAGCAGTTTTTTCCAGATTTCTGATTAAAATAAGTTGTTACGAGTTTTCCAATTTGATTTCATACAAATTATTATTATTGCGCCTGCACCTTACGTGGCACAAAACAATGTATATTTGCAGAAATTAATAATTTCAGTGATTCCACATTTAAAGTTTGTATAAGATAATGCAGTTCTAGCTAGTCACCTAAAGTAAACTACATCCTGATTTAAAAAAAAAATGCAGTGAGAGGAGGATAAAAAGTAGAACCCTCCAAAGAAGCTTGAGTAATTCATACTTTAATATTTATTATACAATAATTCATAATAAAATAAAATATCTATACATATTACATGTTATTTAAACATAATAACATAAACTATTAAACCTTAACTATGTCCTGTTTATTTTGATGGCTAAAACATTAAAACAATGGATAGGTACCAATAAAAAAATATTGTGAATATAATAATTGTAAACCATTATTATTTTACAATTTAATTTTGCATGTAGATTAGACCCAGATTACAACTTTGACATAATCTGCTTAATACTTATATATATATATATAAAGTATATTATTTTTGTATACCTAAGTATAAAAATATTCTTAAACTTGAATGCATATGGAAACTTAGTACTGGACCTCTATAAAAGTGGAAGAGTCTAGTGGGCTAGTGGCCAACATCTTGAAAGATAGATTGGTTATGTAAGTACTCTTGTATTGATTTTCACATCTTAACTGTTTAAGAATATGTATTTTGGGATACAGTAATTAATCAGTATAAGATATGGAATTATGTTCTTAAAAAATCACATTCTTTACTCGAATAAAACTTTGTTGTATTTTCAGAAAATATAAAACTGGGTATCAGTTCTACTTAAATATTGAAAAATATCAATGGTGTGCCATATATTTATGTAACTTCAAATTAATTTGTAACAAATTAATATTGTTTATATCAATTTTAAATTATTAATCTGGTCACTAAACACTGCCAAATATTAAAAGACTTAAGTTTACTTAGAAATATAAGAAACATAAAAAGCACAGGTTCTCATGTGCGCTTAAATTGTAAAATGAGAATGTTTTACAATTAATACACTAATAATATTTTTTTAAAGTGCAGTATCCTCTCAACTTATTTTAGTAACCATGTATACTGTTGGATTACAAATTGACATAATCAAATGGCCTACATGGAAGTTTTTGCATATCTTGATTTTTTATTCATGTAAAGTTAATTAACATTGTAGTTTGTTAAGCTATTTTACACTTTGGGCATGAGGGTATCTATTTATTGGGTTATTACAAATCCCTGCAGTAAACCAAAAATTATTTTTTTACATGAACTATTACGCACTACGCAGGTACTAATCTAAACTCTCCACGAAAAGCAGCCACTGAATTATTTAATATTTTGATTCTTCTTAAAATAGTAACCATGATTTATCAAGTGCAAAAGAAATTTACATAATAATATAGTATATAATGTATTGACAAGAATAGGAGAAATATAAAGTTCTTAACGAATTTTTAAACTTTATTCGTCTAGTACGAGGCATGCCTTTTAAGTTCTGTCGTTTCCATATTTCCCGGCAACTTTGAATTTGGACCTGTACTATATTCGAATGTGTTTACATTTTGAATCTCAAAACAGTTAAAAGTATTAGGATTAATGCTATTGTTTAGTCACAGCGTCAATTTGAATCTGTCAAGTTACGTACGAAAATGAATCTTTCTAAGGAAAATGTTCGTGCAATAATTTTCTACAACTTTAGAAGAGGCCTGACACGGCTTCAGTGTTTTGAAGAGCTAATATCTGTGTTCAGTGATGAAGCCCCATGTCTGCGGAATGTCGAACGCTGGTATTTAGAATTCCAGCCTGGACATACTAGTGTTAGTGACCAATCTAGCGAAGGACGCCCAAAATCGGCCTTCACTGAAGAAATCATCATTGCTGTGAGACAACTAATTCTCGAAGATTGTCATGTGACGTATCGAGAGATAGAGGCTCTATCAGGCATCTCAGGGACAACCATTCAGAAGATCTTGCATGAAACGCTTGGTGTGAGAAAGCTAGTTTGCCGTTGGATACCGCATCTGCTTTCCGACGATCAAGGCAAGGCGAGGCGAGGCGGCCCGCGTCAGATGGTGTAAGAAAACTCTGCAAAGGTTCAACCGAAGAGAGTCAAATCACGTCTACGACATCATCAGTGATGCCGAATCTTGGATCTATGCCTACGATCCTGATTCCATACAACAATCTACAATCTGGGTCTTTCAAGACGAGCCAAAGCCGACTAAACTCGTTCGTTCTCGAAGCACTTCAAAGAAGATGGTGGCCACGTTCGTTAGAAAAACCGGCCATGTTGCGACTATTGCACTTGAAGATCGTAGAACAGTTAACGCAGAGTGGTATGTACACAGTTTGTTTACCACAAGTCATCGCCAAACTTCGAAAATCTAACTTAAAGCGGCGCATCACCCTGCACCACGACAACGCAAGCTCACACAGCGCTCGTCAAACAGTTCAGTATTTGAATCAGGAAAAAGTAGAAATTCTTGAACATCCTCCATACAGTCCTGACCTAAGCCCTAACGATTTCTTTACATTTCAAAAAATTAAAAAAAGTCTTCGTGGTCAAAGGTTCCAGTCCGGAGAAGAAGCAGTCGACGCTTTCAAGTCAGCCATTTTGAACACCTCCACTTTAGAGTGGAATTAATGTTATAATAACTGGTTTAAGCGAATGGAAAAGTGTATTAAGCTACGTGGTGAATACTTTGAAAAACAATAAAAAGTACTATAAGGTTCTAGTTGTGCTTTTTTCTGCAAACGACAAAACTTAAAAGGCATGCCTCGTATTGTCTCTAAGGTAATTAAGATTTTCCTGATTTAATCACAAAATAGATCAGAAGCAATTTTAATTATGATTATAAAATATGCACAATACAGGTTGATTCTTTTAAAAAATACTGAGTATTGTCTATCCTCTGCATTCTTTGACAATTAAGAAGTAGTTCAGTAAAGTGATGATTTGATTAGACGCGACTTCAAAATTGTCTATTGACAAAGTTGAGTCTCATAGTCGCGGAGTATGCTACTGCAACACTCGGTCAAGGTTGTAAGCTCCGCGAATGATATGACCCACATTCAAATATAATTAAGCAATTTTAGTAAATTGTTGACGATAAACCTGACTTCTAAGCTAAGATGTAGCAAAAGCTTTTTCTGAGAAAATAAATCATTGAATGAATACGTAGTCGCTTAATGGTAAAGTTTAGAGGTAAAGTTTTGATCTTTATGTAGTTGTATGTATATCCAAGACTCAATGTTAGTACAGTAAAAAGAAGTTAAATAAGGTATTTTAAAAAATTTCTCTTATGTAAAACCTATTTGGTAAGAAACATAAGTTCTATTCTGTTTCTTACACTTTGGACGGAATACAGACCGAGCCCTAATATTTCCTTATTACCCCTTCCCCTGTCACTTCCAAATTTTTAACATTAATTACCAATAATATTTCTAAGACATTGGTTATCTCAGGAGTGGTGCTGGGTGGCGGCACCTTTTGAACGACGTATTATATTACGAGTCGTAGGACGTGTGCTTTAAAATTTATTTATTTTATTTTCCTTATTTCCTATTTTTACAGGAACTTAATACTAATACAATAGAAAGTTATTAATATAAAAATTAAACTAAACACAATATAAACAAAACTTAAAACCTAAACCTTTTTATATCTTATTACATATAAATAATGCAATTCTTGTGAATTTAGCCAGGGTGCAACTAAATATAGCCGTCTCACAAGCAATATATTAGGGTGCACAAGACGCGTAAATGGTGCTTCTCTGATTAAATTTAAATGTAATCTCAATGTAAAAAGTGATTTGATTATTAAATATTGTATAGGTTGAAAATTAAGGGTTGTATGTATTTTTGTTTTATGTGTCATAAAAAAAAGAATTCGTCCAAAAATTAAAAATAAAATGTTAGGGTATGAAAAATAGATAGTAGCCGATTCTCAGACGTACTGAATATGCATATAAAATTTGATAAAAATCGGTCCAGCCCTTTCAGATTTCTGCTTCCACTGGTTTCGGTCCAGCGCGTCTCTTATGACAGACAGTACAGTTTTGAAGACGATGAGTTTTTCACTTGATCGGTCCATCTGGTTGATAAACGGACACGTGATCTTTTGCCTTCTGTGTTACCAACCACGATCAGTTTCTCCAAGTTCTCGAATCGCCTCTGCGCATTGTATGGCCGAAAATAGATATATAGATATACTAGACAGGCGAGTCTGTATGCGGAGTTGGGTGAGGATCGATGTATTGGTGCGCTTCGCAATCCACGGTATTCTGAGCATTTGTCTCCAGCACCACTTCTCAAATTTTTATATTAGTATGTATTATTATGAAATCAATAACTAACGGAACTTAAAAAAAAATATAATACTGCAATTACTAAAAAAATACGTAACTTAAAATTCAGAGAAGTCGTAATATATGCTCTGAAATTTAATGGAAAGTCTCTGGTCTAAAGTTCAGTATACATAATTTATGTGACGATATAAAGTTTAGTGTAAGAAGTAATCGAAAAAATAATTATATAAAAAAATATTTTTAAATAACATTATACATTTAACATAACATGCTTGAAACTCGTTTTGTCATCTCAATTTTATATAATGTATGGATATGATGACCATGGATTCGTCACTGCCGACCGTTCCCAACTTAAAATTCTGTTGATATCTCTTTCTGGGTTGGTAGCTCATGTCTGATGTAGTTCTGGCGCGAATAATTTTCCTCCGCCAATTTCAGTCTTGCGTTTCTTTTACAACTGTGTATAATTTTTGATACACAATTGTAAAAGGACGACGAGTCTTTTACTTGATCAGTCCATGTTGTTGGAGAACGTTCACGCAGTCCTTTGCTTTCGGTGTTGCCAATCATGATGAGCTTCTCTAGGTTGTCGTCGCCCCTACGCATTGTGTAACCAAAGTACGAAATGATGCGTTGTCGGCATATGGCTGAAAACGGGTTTTAATATGGGTGGGTAAGGATCGTTGCATTGGTGTCTTTAGCGGTCCACGGTATTCTTAACATCTTTTAATATATATACATTATGAATATGAATTATAAATTATATTAATTAATATAAATATATATATATTATGTTTAAGTGTTTACAAAATATTTTCATCCACAAGACACAGTTGCGTTTTATGCTAAAAAAGCAACAACTAATATTACGCCAACGTTTTTCACCAAGGCGCTTTCTATAGAAAAATATTATACGATTTTTAGCAGTTACGATTGCCCTTTTTGTTGTAGAACAGGAATAGCAATTTCTACTCAACAATAGTAAAAATTTAAAGATAGTTTCTTATAGAAAACAACTAAATTATAATTAGCGACGCCATAGCCAGATATATGCTTGGCGTTTCTAGTCATATTTTTAAAACTGTGTCCTACACACATCATTAATTACTACTTTTGCCGTTCGAAAATTATGAAAAAAAACTAATATAATATGAACACAAATATTCGATGCTAAAAACTTACAGACTTGGAAACATAAGTTCGAAAAATAATACTTTACATAGCTCTTTACAATCACGTACATAAAAAACTGTTATAAACTTTTTTCATCCATATTATTATTATTTTTTTATTCAGCTATACTGTGGTTACACAGACAACATAACGCTTACTTAATTTTTTTTCTACAGTATCAAGTGGCTCAGCTATTCTGCGTAGCTGAGGTATCAAAAAACGAAACCGGTGGAGGCGAAGGCATAGAAGTAATTAAGAATGAACCATTCAAAGACTACCCCTTGCTTGGTAAGTAACATGTTTTTCAAGTTCATTTAAGATAATGGTATAACTTGGTTTGTAACACAAAGATATGATCCCCAAACGCATACTTGAAGATGTTTTTTACGTAATTACAATTTTGAAACGTTTTAGATTAAAAAAATTCTAACTCTTTTATTTGAACAATTCATGCTTCGAAATTTTGAGAATTAATACTATTTTTATGCAGGCACTTTCGGATGTTTGCTCGTTGGTACATAGTATATTATGAATTTTATTTGAAGGTTGATTTTTTTAGGTTATGTGAATATTACAAAATATTAAAGTGCGTCATAATTCGCTATAAATTATTGCTTACCTTGATAAATATTTCCTCATATTATTTTATTATGTTCTACCTCATCATAACTATTTTTAACTCCAAAAATATTTTTTGTGTAACACTTAAAATGTTTTCAGTTGCCTAAATAAAAAATGCTGATTTCAGGATTCAAGTAATGTACTTAAGTCAGCAGTTTAATAATAATACAAAATAATAACGTATTACTTGGTTGCCAAAGCTGTAAATAAAACGATGTATACTAACTTTAATTATGATTTGTTCTAATGACATTGTTTGGTGAAATCCTGTAGGGAATTGAAGCACATTCGAAAGAAAATCTGCGACCTTTCCACAGGGGAATTATTTTTTTTTCTAAAATAAGAAATTGTTCTTATTTTAGATTATTTTAGATTTTTTAGTGTCTTGTTATCTATAAAATATAATAACTGGATATATATATATAAGCTTATAGCTTTTAATTAATAAAAATATTTAAAAAATTTAAATTTCGACTGAATTACCCATATTTGCAAACAAATTACTCTATGAGCAAAGGGGTAATAAAAAATTTGTAGTTCTTATCATACTTATCGTAAATGTATGTTGTATCAAAAATTACTTTATAATAATATGATATGTCATATCATTGTCTTTATTGCAAATTATTATTATCAGTAACCGGTAAAGTTTTACTAGTACTAAATAATTATCATAGATATGATAAAATATATGTATCTTAAATTAAATTGCTTAGAAATAAAAAGACAGTTCACATTCTAATAATTAAGACACCATGTGACTATTTACCCGAATTTTGACTTTAAAACTATCTAGTTCTTTCAACATCAGCTGATGTTATTTGGCTTGCGAGAACGGAATACTGAAATTCGGAATAGCTGTTGAATTTACAGTGTAATTCAATATAGTACGACACAATACTAATATCAGCGACTTTCTAGTGAATACAGAAGGCAAGGCAACCAGCTCAAAGACTGTAGAAGTTAAAGCCTTTGAAACTGAATCCTGCTCCACTTGTCCTCCTTGCGTGGATGATGGTAAAATTTTCATGACATACAATAGTAATCGGTAGACGTACAAAACTGTAATTAGAGAAAAAAATACAATTGGAATTACGATTTAATTATTTGATGCTATAAACACGACATTGTATTTTGATTTGAATTATACAGTAGATAATATATATTTATTTGATATAAAATATTAATACAACAGTAATTAGACCCAGTGAAATAAGAATAATTTCAAATGTAAAAGGTTTGTTGAGAGCAAGCTAAGTAACACTTCTAACTTTAGAATGCGTCGATAGAGTAGTAACCCTTATGTATAGGTAATTGTTGAATCCCATCGTATATGGTATTTTGGTATGTAATTTCGTTATAGTTGTCAAAATGTCTGTAGCGCTTAAGTCGCTATTGGGAGTTACATGGTTCCGGCCCAGGAGTCACTCTTATTGTACGATAATGCATTTGTTAGGCCTCGATTGGAACCTGAATTAAACTTAGCTATTAAATTCCACCCTTTCCATTTCGACGTCTAGCGTTCCACAACTCAGCGCTTTTTAAGGCACTTTCCGCGCACCACCTCTTTGTGCCTACTGTCTGTCACACCAATACGACGAGAAAAGAGCGTACCTACCATCCCCCGAAAAGTCGGCAACTCACCCGCTAAACTCCGGTGTTGCAGTTGTGCATGGGCGGCGGTAATCACTTTATTCAAAGTGACCGCCGGCTCGTTTGCTTCAATAAATATAACTTTTAAGATCTGGAAACTAAATTTTCTTCGTAGGTTGCATGTTAGAGTCTTGTTACATGTCATATGTACAGAAAAAAAATTTAATTAAACCTGTTACAAATTATCGTTATGTTTTACATAAGTAAAGAATATTTATTATGAAACCAAGGCCGCAATTAACTACTGTCATTAAAAACTGTGACAATCCAATATAATTTATCCTAACCAATATTAACGCATTTACTTTTTTTTTTTTTTTGTGCCTTAGGGAAGATTTCAGCTTTTCTTCAGAACGAACTATGGTTTCCGTACGTTATAATTACGTTCCTTATACGTTATATTAGTATATCGGGCCTGGTAATCTACTTTACTTTTGTTATTGACATTTTTTCACTCAGTATACTTAAATGCAACCTTCACATGAAGGTTAAATTTATATTTTATATAATTTCCCTTATTAATAAAAAACCAAAATAAGTACTTAAATAAAATAAAAGATTATACAATGATCTTAGCTACAGTTATAACATAATATTTGAATATTTTAAAGGCACGAGTGTACACGTAGGTCCGTGAGTGAAAACGTCTGCGTCAAATATTTGTATGAAAAATGTTACAGCTAGTTTGGTATACATTTTTTAAATATACTCAAAGACATGGTAAAGCTGCAGTTACTAATAACACATACTTAAAAAGCCTCCCGGACGAAACCGTAAGGCTTCGTATGTTTATTGAACGTATAAGGAAGGTAACAATCAAACTAAGATTCTTTAATCAATTTTAGCATGATAACATGAGTGATGACGTCACTATAATTTGCGTTTACACAACTGCGGTCATGTTTGGTTAGGTGTTGAACAAAATCCTTTATCGCTTCCTAGACATTTATTGTTTTAACCGTTCAAAACGTTTGCCTTATAATTGAATGATTTCAAATTCCATAACGTCACTGTAGTACGATAACCTCGTATGTCAAAAAACTATATATAGACCAGTCAGTCAAGACAATTAATTCATAATAATTCCAAAAGTTTTCAAATTTTGATGTAAGGTCGGGAGTGGTATTAAAACAAACTATAAAATTTTGCAACCTGCTCTGCGGTCCGGAACATTGTTAAAAATAAGTTTTGGTCGTGAAAAAAATTCCAAAAGTTCTGCAAACTTGGGGAAGTTTTCGATATAATATTTCATATCACGTATAAAATTTGCAACCAACCTAAGTGTACGGAACATTTTTTGTTATTAAAAATTAATGTTTTTCTTTATTAAACTGAAGGAAAACGTTCCAAAAGTTCTGCAAATTTGACAGATATATCGAAAATAAAATAAATAACATAAACTTTTGGAATTTTTTTCACGACCATACAGCAAAAATTAATTTAATTGCAATTTTAACTATGTTCCGGACTGCGGACAAGGTTGCAAAATGAGATTTATTGTCGTCCCAATGTACCATTCACTTGACCGAAGTTTGAAAACTTTTGGAATTATTATCAAATTTTCGATTTCGAATGTCTATAATGACTGGCCTAATATGTATTTTTTATTCTTAGACTCTTATGTCATTTAACTGGTATAATCATGAAGTTATATCAGTTAAATGACATTACATGAGTTTAGTTTTAGATGAAAAACATAATAATATTTTAACGAACATTGTCGAAATGAAACATTTTTTCGACTCCTGTAATATTTGGTTCTCTGGACATACGAAGTTATCATTCTACAGCGACGATAATATGCTATTTTCAAATACACAATTTCAGGTACAATTTATAAAGTGAGTAGTTGATATGACGTAAATTAATAAAAAAATATAATCCTTTATTGATTTCTCAATTTATGTAAATTAATACATATAAAAAATTAAATTATAGGCATGGAGCTAAAGGTTTATCATGTCTTGAGACGCGTACGAATACCGCATAGGTTTATAATATTTATATAACACTTGAATATATTTCCTTAATAATAAGAGAGCTTCTTAATAATGATAAACAATAATTGTATGGTAATCTATGTTCATTTAAGGCTATGGCAAGCCTCATCTAGTGCTGTAATAGGTGGGAATTTGATGAAAATTCTGAAGAACTTAACCCGCACATAGCATTTTACTATTTATAATGGTTAAAATTGCGGTTCGTTTTTTCATACGTCGTCGTTAAAACGTATTATTTCATAATTATAAACGGTATTGTATTTTCTAGGGGGTAAATACTCATCGGGGCAGTACACTTACAAGATCTACCATTTGGCGTCCAAAGTGCCGGCCTTCATCAGATTGCTGGCTCCAAAAGGTTCCCTCGAAGTTCATGAAGAGGCCTGGAATGCCTACCCATATTGTCGGACTGTTTTAACGGTACATTTTTGATGGACTGAATAACGATTTGCTTAAAAATTACGTATTATGTGGTGGGTGATGATGATGACGGTAGTTTGCTCCCCAAATTTAGGGGGAATCAAGATGTCCTAGGGAGTATTTAGGGAGGTACTTTGTTCAAGTTTTCAAAATTCTTTATATATACGAATACAAAAAATAATCTTTAATACACGATTCTATACAATTTATATTACGCTTTGAACCCAACCAATATGAACACCAAGCGTGACTCCTAGATATCAATTTTATACTACTTTATGTATTTTTGATCCATATTTGTAAACTAGCTGATCCGGCAAACGTCATTTTGCCATGTTTATCATTTATAATAAAAAATAGGGGTTGATCATAGAGGGGTGAAAATTAGGGGTTGTATGTATTTTTTAATGCTGTATCATAAAAAAAAAAAAAAAAAAATTATCAAAAAATTAGGGGTGGACTACCCTTAACATTTAGGGGGATGAAAAATAGATGTTGTCCGATTCTCAGTTATACCCAATATGCACACAAAATTTCATGAGAATCGGTTGAGCCGTTTTGGAGGAGTATGGCAACGAAAACTGTGACACGAGAATTTTATATATTAGATGACCTCTCAAACCAAGGGTAAAGCAAAACCTTTTAGGGGATTTTGATCGATATTTAGAGGCATTTGAAGTCGATTCTGTAGGAGTTGGCATCATTGAATTAGAGAGAACTGCCGTCGTTTCGTCTTTCCATTCTCTTTCTTTTTCTAATTTTCTGACTCCCAGAACTCTACTTATTTTCACTGTGGACCAAGAATTATCTAATTTTAATATTAATTTCAGAATCCCGGCTATATGAAAGAGAACTTCGTTATCTGCATAGAGTCTTTGCATTTACCAGACGCGGGTGACCAATATAATGTAAGTAACAATTTGCATTTAATAATTACCGTTACAATTTCAGTATTTATATGAAACTACTTGTTCTAATTGATTCTTTACAAAGTTTAATTACTAATTTCCTATTCGTTCAAGTTTTTAAGGGAAAATAGTACACGTCAATTGTTTAATAATTAATCATTTACTGACAATTAACCTTCGTAAATTAATAAAGAATACCATGGGAACATTAAAATTACATTCAGCACATTATTAGACATTTCGAAATGAAATTTCGCTGGGTTGCACCAATGTAAATTTTAAGGTGATTTAGCAGAATGACGAGCTTATAAAATTTGCTGAATCAAGGGAAATTGCTTTAAAATCGTTAATATTATTGTATTGATTGCGATTTGAGTTTGTTGTAAGTCAGATAACGAATGGGCTTCGAAGAAATTGTTGATATCGAATGGGTTTCCGTCTCTTATCGCTGACTCTAAATCGTACCTGGGTCTATTAAAAAAATAGTTCGACTTACTATAATTTAAATAGATACCCCATTTTGCATTGCATGCATTTATAGATTAATGCTATATGTACAAAAATCGTATTCATATATTAATTAAAAGCAATTGTTGCGAATGTTATTTTTTCTATATACACAGTAATTATGATTTGCCATGTATGTGTGTGTGTATACAACTGTTAAATATTGTCTACAACATTAAACATACATTTATATTAGAACCAGCCAAGGATTTAATTTTAACGATCTTTAATCCTTTTGGTCTCAGTTTTATCGACGTTTAAAATGAATAAAAGTTTATTATTAATCGAGATATATATGGTGCTCATAATAAACATGTTTATCATCCTAATGAGGCATTGTAGCGTGAAAATTGAAATGTAATAAGTTTCAAAACAATTAAGTCGGCCACACCAACCAACCTATTATGTGTGTAATTTCCGTAAAACAGTAAAAAATACTGTAATATAATTTTATATTGCTACACAAATAATTCCTTGTAAAATTTTGTAATTTAGATTACGTTACGTATCACGATCTGCAGTATATTAAATCATTGTTTGTACGTATAGCACAAAGATTTTTTGCGTACGTTTAATTTATCATTTATTTCAGCCGTCTCTAGAAAAACATAGAGTTTCGTTGGGACTCGAACCCAGGCCATATGCAGTAATGAGAACTTAACAAATTAATAAAACAATGTCTACCTAAAAATCTACGAAACGAAATAAACAAAAGAACGTTGAAACGCAACTGAAAGTAAACGTAGTTAATGACTGATCTAAGTAAGATAAATACAAGTTTTAGATTCGATTAATATATGATAAACTGCGTATGCATATTTAAGTATGAAGCAAGCATTAGAAAAACTGTGATACAAAATCTTTGATCCCATGGGACAGTGGCATTAGCCTCAACTTCATGATTTGTTTATAAAGCTTTCTCTTTTTCTTTAAGTCTCTCGTATATATTTCTGTAAAATATTGAATTAAATTGTGGAAATAATCGTTAGAAGCGTGTCTTGACCGAGACCTATGCGTCAATTACAAGGCCAAGTACGATGAGATAATAGTACGTATATAAATGGTTACTTAAATTAATCAGCTATGATCACCCATTTCCTAAATTTTTTTTATATATCATTGCAGGTGTGGCAATTTAAATAAACTTATTAAATTACCATTTAACTATCTCTTTCGAGCAGCCAGACTTCTTTCGATAAAAAAAACAAAGTTAAACAAGTCTAGATATTAATTATGGCAGACATCTTCTCTTATTCTCCTACGACTTTTAAAAGCTGATTTTGAAGATATGAAGTGAACCGATTTAGGAAGTTAATTCCATAGATTTAAAGCAGTCAAAAATTTGCTACCGAAATTTGTGTTAAATGCTTCAAGTAGGTATAATTGTAACGAAAAAGTTGAAATTTTTGAAGTAGGAAAGTGTTTTGGAGAGACAGAAAAAATAAAGCAGTAGGTCAAGGCAAACATTCTGTAGATATAGGAAGAATCCGTCTAAGTATACTTAAAGCAGAGTAAAGTTTAAAGTTGCCTCCTTATAAATGACAATACATGATAAAGTTAGATCTGAAAAACTCACATTTAAAAAAAAGTTTTTCACTATTCGATGAAGTTCACGGAGTTAAAGGCATTTCTAAAAACCAGCAATTTGAGAACTGCCTGTTGATTTATATTTATTCATTGACGAATGTTATCAACCTCTACTAATTCCATGGTCGTGCTTTATCCAGAACGATATCCTGACTGAAACGACTCTAGTATGGTATGGTACTCTTTTTATTCAAATGAAGCAATAGAAAGAAATTGCAACTGACACTATAAATGATTTGAACCTGCAAATTGATGACGAGTTTCAATCATAAAATTCTCAAAGAAACAGATGCAGCCTAAGGCCAAGACCCATAAAAAGTTGTTGACACTGGATTACTATCGTTAATCTTTTAGAACGCAAAACAAGGTCGCATCTGCCAACTATTTGTCTGTGGTCTCTTGCAGTTACAGACTAGAAAACTGAAAATTCCACAATACGCTACTGTAGGAATGCCTTAGTGAATTAATGTACCATTTATTCTCAAATTGCCTACGTTGCATATTATTAATATTATGCCCCATTTAAATTGTTATATCGCAATGAAAAGCTTATAATTTATTTCTTATGTACCTTTTATAGAGTGATTGAGATTTATTAAATACCCAGACGTATATCATTACTATTGACTCTGCAATGAACTGAATTGAGAATATTAGGAGCAAATTAACCCAAAAATGCATAGGTCAAGTGGCTTTAAGTATTTGACTCAATCTGTACGGTGCTATTTTTGATTATGTAATGTATTCACAATTTCTCATACATTAGACTTTAGGGTTATATTTAGATGATATGTGGTATAAGTTTTCATATAATCTATGTCTCTAGAGTTGAATGGGCTAATGACCGAAACAATATACGCACGCACGGGGCGTATAGCGTTAAATAAGAACGCCTACAATTATACAATAACAATTTCCTCTGTACCACAGTTTTATGGCATCACAGATGGCTTTGTTAGGCATAAAATTCCTATAAAACGCTTCCCGTAGTGAGTTTTTCTCTTTTAGAAGCGCGAAGGCAATATTATATACGAAAGTTCATAAATAAACTTTGTTGATTTTATAACTTTGGAACTGTTAACGGTAGGAACGGGCGATATTTCTTTGAAATTTGAAATGATGTCTTGAATTCAATAATTTAATTGTGAATTTAAAAATGTCTTGATGGACCTGAATAAGGTTTTACGTCTGTTTTTGTACTAAGGTTGTATTTAAAGAAATATAAATCCGATACCACAGCCAATCGTATAAGACGACACCCTTCGTGTGTGAGTCCACGTCTAACTCATTTTTAAAAGCGGTCAGTGTAATTCCTTTGAAAACTTATATAATTGATTAGCTATGAATACGGGTCTTAAATAAAATGCTTCGTTTAAGTGCAAGAAACAGTTGTGTCATAAGGAATAATTCAATTACGTAACATAGTAATGAAACTAATTGCCTTGAAACACTGTTCGAAGGTTACTAGCGGCACAAACACATAGTATTCTAACGTGAAATAAACATAAATGAAAAAGTTTTCGTAAAATTTACTTATAGAAGAGAATGTAGAAGAAAAATATTTACGGTCATCATACATAAGCCCGAAAAATTAAGAGTTAATATCCATATTTCTGACGGCCAACTTTTGTTCAATGTCGTTCCTTATGAATAAAAATGATTTAGTATTCAGTTTTTACAACAGTATTGACGTAAAACATGTTTAAAAGAATTATAACCTTCGCAATGTTGTTGGTTTTTATAAGCCACAGTTATACACTACAATTTAATCAATTAATAAATTAGTATTTATTCGTCTTAAAGTCTTTTATTATGTATGTGAATAATTATTATTAAAAGTTTTTAAAACCTGGCATAGCATAGCTTGATTTCAATGAAATAAGTTTGATGAATAAAATACTTATTTGTATCAGTATAGACAAAATTCAACATTTAAAAGAATATAGATGCCACTTGTTAAAAACAAAGAAATAGAGATTTTTGTAAATTGATTGATGAGTGCCGCGGTACTTTTATAATTTAGAAAACTAACTTTTTTTTATCACATACATAAAAATAAATAAAAAGATTCAATAATTTACAGGTGCACGAACTGCCGCCAGAAAAGCTTAAGACGCGCGAAGTCGTCAACATAGACATTGCCAACGACCCAATGTCCCCTGCGGACTACAAGGCTGAGACCGACCCAACGAAGTTTAAGTCTACAAAGACTGGACGGGGTCCATTGGTCGGGGCCAACTGGAAGAATGAGGTCAAGCCAGTCATGACTTGCTATAAACTGGTCACCGCTGAGTTTAAGTGGTTCGGACTCCAGGTATTTAACTTTAATATGATTTATTTATAAATGTTTTTCAAAAAATATAACACCTAATATTTTTTTTATATTTATAACAAGTCTCTAAACAGTTTCTTAAATCAGTAAAATTTATTATTATTTTAGATATATATATATAGTAGTGTATTGGACACTTTCTTCTGTAAAAATCCTTATTAGTAAACTAAAAAAAAGTTAGACTTAAATTACTTATTAGTCTTAAGTTAGGCTAGATTGTAATGTTCCATGATGTCTTAGTAAAGACACATGTATATAAAAATAAATTTAGATATATAAGGCCTCATATACGTGACTTGACGGCTTGAATTCAGTTTATAGTGTTCTTGGCGGATGTAATACGTTACCATTGGAATTAGGCAATAAAATAAATCTTTTTTTTATTTTCAGAGCAAAGTTGAAAATGTGATCCAGAAATCTGAGCGACGGTTGTTCACTATCTTCCACAGGTAATATATTTTTAATAACCTACGCTAGCAATGAAAATACTGAATTTATAAAAATAATAATTATCACAACTGTTGTGAAATTAAAGTTTTGTGAAGTTTTCAATCGAGATATAATTTATTTTAAATATATATTTTTAATGAGCAGTGCTGGCCTAGTGGCTTCAGAGCGCAACTCTCATCCCTGAGGTCTTAGATTTGGTCCCCGGCTGTGCACCAATGGACTTTCAGTTGATGTGCGCATTTAACACTCGCTCGTACGGTGACTAAAAAAAATCGACAGTGTGTGTCAGGCACAGAATATGATCCTGTGAAAAACTTCAAAGAAACTGATACAATGTGAGGCCAAGACCCATGTAGGGTTGCAGCGTCACTGGATTATAATTTATTAATTAAGACTATGGCTGTTCAATTCAGAATAGTTGTAAGAAAGTTGAAGACGGTTTAACCGAGTGACGGCATAGCCAAGTTAACATATTCATTGTCCTTGTCTAAGTCTAGCTTCTATTGTTTTTGGTATGATTTTAGAGAAAACTTAACTAATCTTTAAAGCCAAACAAACAATTATTGCAAAAATTATACTATAATTTCAATATTAACTAAAACGGCATAAATCAAACATAACTTGTTACTTATACTTAAATTAATTCATTAATATACCATAGTAAATCTCTGTAAAGTCATATGCAGTAAATAGTAAAGTCTCTAAAAAAAATGTTAACTATTCAATTTTCACTATCAGTTAGCATAAACTCAGCATAGGCTGAGTTCTTCGAATGTGTTTGAATACAAATATGAACTTAGTGATGGCATACGGGAGTAGTGATACTTCGCGCTAATCCTCGACTTTGAATCTTGTCCTATAACCATTTTTTTTTAATCAACTTGCCCTACATTGGTATTTATATTTAATTACAGACAAGTCTTCTGTTCTATGGACGACTGGTACGGTATGACAATGGCTGACATCCGCGCCATTGAGGACCGCACTAAGGAGGAGCTAGAGAGGCTTCGTCGTGAAGGAGAAGTGCGCGGAATGCGCGCCGACAACGAATAAATGGAGACAGCCCAAGCGCACGAGTATGTTGCTACGTGACAACCCTACGCGAGACGACTTGTGACAGCCCTAACGCTGTGACCACGTGACAGACCCGAAATCCTTAAGGCGGTTGCTAACCAGTTCCTATATTTGTATTACCAATACAAAACCAAGTTTATAGCTAAAATCAAATAACTGATGACAGCAATGAATTGCGATTTGTGATTACCACTTAGGACACAACTGAGCCTTTCGCGTTTTACTCGCTTCGATAGCGAACGTCGCGTGTCAACTACCGTGCGCTTCCATACTGCGACAACCTTGAGCGCAAGCACTGCATAATTTTACCAAATTTGTCTAAACTCTTCCAGTTGTTAGATAATAAATATTTATTGAAATAAATATATTTATTTATACCCTGCATCTTTATTGTGTAAACGTGAACGCCGTCCGCAAAAAGGCAAATTAACTTAACTGGTGGTGGCTATTCCATGATGGTACTATTAGTTATTGTAATATAATTGAAAATTTTCTTTCATCTTGACAAAATAGAGGAACTCATCAATTTCGTAATTTTCAGTTACCATTAGTTTCGAAAGTAAACAATTATGTATATCGCCCTACATGTATATCGTATTTCAGCGGTTACGATTCTAACTGTTAACCATTTATTTTACTGATAGTACCAAGACTTATATATTGCGCCTTGTATGAATTTAGAAACACAATAAAGTTGCAAGCAAATATAATTTGTTGTTTAAAAATATAAGGTTTGCGCTCAAAGTGTCTGCGCACAGAATGCTCGAGTCTCAATAGAGATATACATTCAGGACTGCAGGCAGTCCATTGCTTAATATTTTCAAGCAGGAGCATTTGACTCCTAACCTTGAGTTAAAATTAATACAGATTTTAGTAAAAACGTACACTAGAGACATATTTAGCTTACACAACAAAGAAAATAGAAAATGTCAGAACCTTATTGTGCCCATGTATATTCTCCTCGGCAATGATTTGCACATAGTTTTTAAATATAAAATAGTACTTATTGCTCATTCTACGCATTTTTTGACAATATAACTATTAATTAATAGGTTTCAATTATCTCTATTGAGACGAGGGCATAAACCCTTAGCAAAATAATTTCATTATAATGTGGTATAGATTAACTATTTAAATAAATGGATGTAGTCAGTGGTTCAAGGTAGTGTATTTGTTACCGAAAATTAAAAATGTTAGAGTTCTTGGACAATTTATTAGCAACGAGATTTTGTGAGATACAGCATTTAGGAAAAGAAATAGGTATCTAATGTTCTATGAAATTTCCTGTGTGAAACAGGCTATGCTGTATATATATATATATATATGTGTAAAATCTGCTTATAAATGTAGTAGTATTTCATTAACTTCATGAAATTCATAGATCTTTTGATTTCGTTGTTGTAAAATATAATGGTTGACGGTTACTCTGGGACTACTAACTGGCATCGGTCGCATTAACCGATGCATGGCCGTAATGTATTATAATTTGGTTGTCCGGGTCACGTTCAGATGTGAACCGCATTCGTGACAATGTCGCGTTCTATATCAGTATTTTGATGTGACATTCCAGGGGCTTGAGACAAAATCACATTGCGACAGGCGTTACCCACTAACTACAGACGAATTTTGTACGGAAATGGTCACGTGACGTAGCGTGTGCTTATGTTATTCCCATACATAATCGATTGGCTTTATTGGGTCACGCCTTCCACACACTGATTTTGTCTCAAGCCACAGATCCCGACTATGTGAATAGTTTTGTTTCCGATGGCTCTCTGTAATTGATGAAATAGCTACATTATAGGTTGTTATCTACAATGTGTAAAGGAAAAAGGTAAATTTTAATGTACCATTTTTCGTTCGGTTTTTCCGAGCCCTTTGGGCTGTGATAGCAATGGTTCTATTCAATATAAGTTTAACCACAAGGGGGCTCTTTTCTTGACTATTGCACTTTATTTTTATTATTTTTTTTATCATCTAAGTTGTAATAAGTTTTACATTAAATACAGCGTGATACATATATTTAAAAGTAGTCTTTTATTGGTAGAAACTAGATTCGATATTATCCCACTTCTATGTACTTATTTTCCTCGTATTCATATGAAAGTACAATAAATTGCATATTTTACAGATTTTATAGACATAATAGCTTTGTTTTTAATTTTATTGTCTTTAGTACTAGAAATTTAAATAAAACATTTATAAATTAATGCTTCTAGGACGCAAACGGCTATATTATTCACATACCATCACGTATCGAGTGATTTTTACCTTTTATTGGTAAAAATCACTCAATACATTTATACTAATAAAAAACCGCGTTTATATCCTTTCGAGATTTAATTAAATTGTTTGTTTTTAAATTATTTTAGAAACAATAAACTCTTCAATTTTCTAAATAAAATAACATTCAGAGTACATTACAATATACAAGAAGTTTTCTTAGAATTTTCGCAGTTACTATTAATTAGGTTTATAAGTGAACTTTTCAAATTGTAGGGTTTTAATTATATTTAGTCAGAATGCTTATTTCTGCAGGCACACAATGGGCAATATAATGGGTAGTATAAAATGCAAATATTGTCAATTTTGAATATGAAATGATGAAATTTTCTTCTGCATTGAAATATATTAATATGATTATATGGTAAATTAACATTTGTTCTAAAATGTAATATGAGTATATTGAAGGCCAATGAAATAAATAATATGACATAAAGAGTTTTTATACCTTGAGTAGCTAGTACCTTATTCCTCTTTTTGCTTCCTTTTATACTATACATCAAAATTTTCTAACTTTAATAAAACACTGTTTTAAAATTCATAGTTTAATCACAGTCAATCACAACATAACAAATGAAAATAAAAAATGAGGAATGAATTTTACACATTCAAATAATTTATTCTAATTTTTAAAAAGGAAGAGGAATTGGTGGACAAGAATAATCTATAATACACAATTCATAAAGAATATATTCACATTTAACTTCTTCTATTGTATAAAAGTGTTCTTAGAATATTATAATTATGTATTTATATCCCTTATTAATAAATATCTATATCATCAATGCCTATCACTTATACTTGCAACACAATGATTGAAAAAATTATTAAAATTGTAATGTATAAATCAGGACAATCAAAAAATACATAACAATTTTTTTTAACAGTATTTAAAAATCAATCATCTACCTCTAATTCTAATTCAATATCAGCAAGGCTTATTTTCCGAAGAGTATTAATCACCATATACCTAGAGAACATTATGTATAAGTAACGAAACCATATCATCTGACTTTTGTGTTTTCTCATAGCCCGTGAAACTCTTCTGCTTTCAGTCCAACGAAGAAAATACCTAAAATAGCTTGAAATTAACATGGTGTTATTTCCCTTCATGTTAAGTTTACTAAACACCATTAATGTTACCTTTTAGAGGACAACAAAAAACTAAGAGGCAAGTCCAGGAATCCTAAATATTTTCTTAATATATTTACAGAATCTAATGTATATACTGTACATTCTGAAACAGAAAAAATTATTACACTATGTTTACAACACAAGTGTTTCCTATATGGTTTTGTAGGTGTAGAGAGAGAACCTAAGATCTCAGGTTTTGTTATGTCTAAATCAATTTTTTTTACTCAAAAGGCTGATCAACTGCAAATGTGTCTCCTACATGCTCTATTGAGATATGTAGTTCCTAAATTTCAAACAAATAATTATGATATCACTATCGCTAAAATATTATAAAAAATTACAAATTGTAAGTCTTGAATTAATATGCTTAATAATTATTTATCGCTAAAATATATTTTATGTTTGACCACAAGTGAAAGACACAAACAAAAACTCAAGGTTTTTTTCACAAAAGTGTAAAAATGGTGGTACGTCTAGAATCCCCAAATATTGTTTCTGATTTATTGGTAATACAATATATGGCACCGATACTTACAGAAATTTTCAACTACGTGATCAACACAGAAATCATCCCAAAACAGTGGACTGAATCCATCATAATCCTTATATTCAAGAAAGGGAATCACTGCGATATTGGAAACTATAGACCCATCAGTCTAATGTCTAACATTTACAAAATTTTTGCAAAGATTATTTTGGAAAGAATAGGAAGGAAATTAGATGAGCAACAACCCATTGAACAGGCAGGATTCCGTAAAGATTTCTCGGTGCTAGACCACATCCACACTGTAAGACAAATTAGAGAAAAATACAATGAGTACCAGCTTGTATACTACATAGCTTTTATTGATTACAGTAAGGCTTTCGATTCTTTGATACACTCAAAAATCTGGGAAGCCTTAAAGGAACTGGGTATAGAGCACAAATATATAAGAATTATAAAAAATATTTATAAACACAGTTCGGCTTGTATCCGCCTAGAAAAAGAAGGAAATAAATTTCAAATACAAAAAGGCGTGAGACAGGGTGACCCCCTTTCACCAACACTCTTTCTGGCCGTAATAGAAATGATCTTCAGGAATCTGGAATGGAGAGACATGGGCATAACTGTTAATGGCCGCGCGCTAACGCACCTACGATTCGCTGATGATATCGTAGGTATTATTTGCAAAAACACCAGCTGATCTAAGCAAGATGATAAATGATCTAGCATCGGAAAGTGCAAAGGCCGGATTGAAGCTTAACCCGGAAAAAACAAAAATCATGACCAATGGCAACAAAGACCCTGTAATAGTGGAACAGAACCAAATCCCCTACGTGGAAGAATATTTATACCTCGGTCAACTGATGTCTCCAGACGACAACGGAAACAAAGAAGTCGAAAGAAGAGTTGCAAACGGCTGGAAAAAATATTGGAGCCTAAAAGAAGTGATGAAAGACAAGACCCTACACAATTCAACGAAAAGCAAATTATTTAACACATGCATCCTGCCAGTGCTGGCTTACGGGAGCGAAACATGGGCTTTAACAAAAAACGTAACAAATAAACTCTCCGTATGTCAACATGCCATGGAAAGGAGCATGACTGGGATCAAAAGAAAAGACAAAGTAAGGAGTAGCAACATCAGAGGAAAGACTAAGGTACAGGACATAACTTTGAAAATAAGAAGACAAAAGTGGAAATGGGCAGGCCACATGATCAGGGGAAAGGACAAATGGAGTAAAATAATCACACAATGGTACCCAAGAGATGGAAAGAGAAAGAGAGGTAGACCACAAAAAAGGTGGGACGACGACATTATACAAGTCGCGGGAACAACATGGGGTAGAGTGGCCATAGAAAGGCCAGAATGGAGAAGGTTGGAGGAGGCCTTTGCCATCTGGCAAACGGACACCCAAAAGTGGAAGAAAAGTACAATATACGAAAAATAAAGGAAATACTGGCATGTCCGAATAGAGGCTATAATATATATATACAATAAATCATAGTTCTTCTGCAGTTCTTATTTTATAATTTTAATAATATTGAACTTACTGTCTGTCATATTCTTTTCAACAAACATATAAGCTACTGCATAAAAAACAGCAGCATGATTAGGGTGTGAAGAGACACCACCTCTGTCGAATATCACAAGGGTATCAACATTATATGCTTCTATATGATGTCCTATTAACTTAGCTATAACTGGAACTGGCCATTGTAACTTAGGGTTGTCTGGCAGTCTTGTGTCTGAGATAAGACATATATTACAATCAGGAACTCCCAATTCCTTACAGGCATTCCATAATTCTTGTTTACGAACATTTCCTTTTCCCTCATAATTTCCTAAAAATAAGACCAGCTGGTAGATTGATATGTCTCTTAAAAAAATGATTAATATGAAAAATGGTTTACTTTTTTTAGTTTGAATTGTTTTAAATATAAAAAGTTTAAGTAGTTGTAAAATAGTACAGGTGATTTATTATAATTTATTGTTAATGAAATAACTACAATATGCAGAGTGTTACCATTTGATAAGCACAAGATGTAAACTTCAGCTCCCTGTTCACATAATCTATAGATAGTAGGTCCAAAGAACATACATTCATCGTCTGGATGAGCCACTACAACTAACACTCTTTTTGCTCCGAGAGCTCCACGAGTCCTAGTAGGAAGCTTTCTTGCATATTTCCTATACACAATACAACACAAGCACAAGTAACCAAATATCCACAAAGATATGTACAACACAAAATTTGTTAAATACAGCAGCGATTCAGATATAAATGTTAAGTAAACATTGTAAAGAAATTCGACTTTGTATGGGGATTCCAAAAATAACATTTTAGTCCAAGAATAATTAAATTAGAAATTAAAGGAACTCAATAAAATTCAAAATCTTCACAATAAATATTATTGTATAAATTTCAGACCAAATGATTGAAGTTAATTTCATATTCGAAAATAATAATCCCCTAGACTAAACTAACTAAACAGTTAATTGGGACTTGTGAGTTGTAAGTTGTAACCACTGTCTACCACGGGACCACTAGGCGTTATATACTAATTACTATTTAGTATTTACTATACTGATTGGTGAATGCCCTGATTTTTTATTCCGTACAATTCTGTCTTTTTTTTTTTAATTTATTTATTAGCCGGATACAAAGTCCATTGGCACTTTAAAAAAAAGTATAACAAAATATCTTACACAAATAACTATTTACTATACTAACTTAACATAAAATACAATTAATATAAAACAATGGTGAGTTTTAAATTTTCTCAACCGTGTTTTTTATATAATAGTAAATAGCTTTAAATAGAACTGGACATTTCAGTAAATCTTGGACACGGCGGGGAATTTCTATTTGTGATGGTTTACATTGATGACTACCATTTGCAGTGACTGATGAGTCTAAAGCTGATCTTGTCGGGTTATTTGCTAAAGAATTTCCAAGTTTAGTCCGATTATTCTCATCAAAATCCATTAACTTCATAATATCCGTTACTAGTATTAATCGTTGAAATTTAAAGGTCGGGCAACTTAAGATGAGGTGGGATAAGTCGGCCTCCTTTCCTCCACAGTATGTACATCTGTTATTATTTATAATTTTAAAACGAAATAAATGGCTTGGAGTCTGACAGTGGCCAAACCTCAAACGATTAATAATGGTTATAAATTTACGTTCATTGGCTCCTTTGTATTTATCATACCAAGGTTTACATGGGAGTTCCTTTTGGATCTCTGCATACCAACTACCTTTATGCTGTGAGGATAATTTCCAATAGCTTTCCCATAACTTGCGACTTCTTTGTTTTAAGTCGAAAAGAAAATCCGTAAAAGGAACTCTGCATGTAATACTATGATCCTCATCATAATTAGAATTGACAATACCATCTACAATATCATTTCCCTTGATACCCCTATGAGAGGGCACCCATTTAAATGTTACTGGAGTATCCAAAGATATCAATGCTTCTCTAATTTTATACAATAAATAATTATTTCTATAATGAGTATGACATTTGTCTAAAGCCATTAACACACTTTTTGAATCTGAAATTATTAGGAACTCCATGTAGTTATCGTTATTTTGTAAACTGTGTAAGTACAATACAACTTGATAGATAGCATAAGCTTCAGCTGTAAATATGCTGCAAGTATTACTTAACATAAAACATTTTGAGGTTTTAGCCTGAGGATCATAGTAACCCGATTTCACTGCAGATGAAGATTTAGAGCCATCAGTGTAGACTTTGTAACTGTTAGGCTTGGTACAGCAATAATCCAGAAAGTCTATATTATCTACTACACTGGACATATCTATATTTAATTTACACATAAGAGCTTTATATTTACAGAGATATACAGGCCATAGTTCAGATTTGTACATATTATCAGATAAATCAGTCATAAAGCTCATAATTCCCAATAATTCAGGGATCTGGTTACTGAGAACATTAGTCGCTGTTATACTTGAAGGCAAATCTGGTGTATTAGTGATAGTTATATAATAAGAAAGTTTTGGAAGAAGAACATCATTCTGAGAAGTTATTACTTTCAGGCAAAATTTTTCAGCAATTAATACTCGCCGAATACATAGTGGTTCTACACATGACTCAACCTCCATAGAATTGATAGGAGTGGTACGCATTGCACCAGTAACAATTCTAAGAGCAATATTTTGGATAACATCAAGCTTTTTAATAATACAGGACTAATATTCATATATGCCAGACAGCTATAATCAAAATGACTACGTACTAAGCTTTTATATAATAAACAAAGAATTTTTGGATCAGAACCCCAAAAAGTTCCTGCTAAGGACCGCAAAATATTGATACCTTTCAAAGCTCTACTACAAATATAGTCAATGTGTTTGGTAAACTTTAATTTAGTGTCAAAAATTACACCAAGAAACTTTTTTCGCTATTTTGAGGGATTAAATTATTGTTATACTTAACATTTACATTAGTATCAATACCATAAGCTAAAACTGAACTTTTACTACTATTTATATTTAATTTAAGTATCTCAGTATAATAGTAGTTAAGTTGACATAAAGCTGAATTAACTTTTGCTTGAGTAACCTGTAAATTACTGCCTACACTATATATTAAGATGTCATCAGCAAATTGTAATATTTTTACAGATTCAGTCACATATGTACTTAGAGTATTAAGCCAGAAAGGAGACGCCATCACTCGAACGATGCTAATTATTTTTTCTGCCAAAACATCGGCGGGGGACGAGGCACTCACACAGACAAAATTTTACTACAGAAACAAATTGCACAATGTTTGTACACACGCACACAAACCTAATTTGCTTACACAAGAGTAACCGCAACGCACACATTTAAAGAAATCGTATCTTTACACGTTACATGTACAGCACACATACGCAACAATCCCGACATAATTAGAGCTACCACCATGTCGATAAGGAATGTCGATAAAATTTATTTATTCAATCATTCAGTTGTTCATTCTATTCTGCAATAGCAGAAATATTCTAAAAAAATTTTTTCACAAATGCGGTGGCAAATTGTGAACTAATGGCGCCACAAGCGACTGTACCCAAACTCTATGAATTGGTCAGTTTCAGTGTGTATAAGGATAAGTAGTGTCAAGTTCTTGCGTGACTCAAGCTAATAACGGACTTTGGTTTGGGTACCGTCCCTCATGGCTTCATTAACTTTCACTAAGGTGAAGTAGTGCATCAAGAAGGACACTAGCGCTCCATGTTTTTATTTATTTTATTTAAACAAACAACTGAATGTACATTGGACTTTTCTTTCTTCTTCTTTTCTTTCTGTTTTCTGTTTTTGCGACAGTTGCACCTTAGGAGAGTATGTTAGCGATGATTTCTAAAGTGTTTATAGCATTTCTAAAATATTTTAGAGAAAATTTGCAATACATTACTATACGGCTAATATTTAGAAGAAGTTATGCGCTGGTCTCCTCCATGACGCTCCATCCTAAATGTAATAAAATAGGCAATTAAAACAACGTACTTAAGAAAAAATATTTATTACAAAGAGGTTAAAAAGTACAACAGGGGGTTTCTAAACACATTGTCAATCAAAGTATTTATTTATATGAAAACATCATGTAACTGTATAATCATTTGACATTAAAAAAAATATTTTTATTGCTACTACTTTTTTAAATAGCGTAATTGAAATCCCATGATGATTTTGAATTTAAAAATTTGAAACGACATAAGAAAACACAATTTTATTTTATACTAGGTACTAGTTTCATGTATGAAATAATAAGAACACTATTATTACTTACAAAATAGCGGATTTTGATAAGTTTTATTTAAATCTGCAAATCCAGCAAAACTTTTTATTGATTTTTGAAGTGAATGAGTTTTGTGAATATAATATGACGGATACATTTTTTTGGATCCTTTTTCTTAGAAAGGTAAGTGATTCTCGTGTTTACATATTTTTCCATAACAACCTTTGCCAGTTCTATGTTATGCGTCACATAATCGTTGTCAAAATAATGTTCCTCAATAGAATGAAAGAGTGTTTTCCCTACAAGTTTTTTTAAAGTTTGAATAACAATTCGTTTAGTGTTGTATTTAGGATCAACTTTTTTATCCGACGTAAGTGTGGCTCTAATCTCGAATTCACAAAAGCGACATAAGGATATTACCTCTTCTGAGGAATACATTAAGCCACCTCTACTTTTTTGATAAATCAAGCTTTCTTTACACTGCACGCCTAAAAGAGCCTTGACGCAGATACTGCATTTGATTTTTTAATGATAGAAAAAACCACGTAGCCCGCTATGTATTTCACTACTTCCTCGCCGAAAGGAGATAAGTATGTGTAGCTATCTATATCTGTAAGTATCTGTTCCTCTGTGATGGAAAATTGTTTATCTGCCTCTAAATTAATACAGAATGACAAAGATGTGTCGTTGATTTTTTTATCCCTGAAGAACAATCTAAAATTGATATTTTTTCTAAAGGAATACAATTTGTACCTCGTTCATTTCGGTTTAGCTCTGTGTGTACCAATAGTTTCTTATATAATATTGCTTCGAGTTGTCGCGCTGTGGGATTATCATTATACCCGCCATGGCTACGAACATTGGAAAAAAAAATTTCTATATGATCTTGGCTGATCTTATGTAAGGGCAGATACGTAAGTATTGTGCCTTGGTCTAACACTAAACTTTTGAACAACTTTTTTGCACTTTCAATGCACACGCAAAAACCTAAAAAACCTGTGTGTCTTGGAGATTTTAATATATTTACTTTTTTTAATGTGTTTCCCCTAGGAATAACCACAGATAAGTTAGTTATGACAGCTTTTGCTTCATCTAATCGGTCAAATGCCTTTTGATAGTTTTTTGAGTTTAATGCCTGTTTGTACGCATTGGACCAAGTTTTTGAATCGAGGACATCAAATATATCGTTCATTAAAATTAAAAATTCAGCGGTTGGAGTTACTTCTTTGAAAGAAGGCATCTTCATAATGTCAGCACAAAAAATCAATGCGTCAGCTACGCTCTGACTGAAAAGTTGGGCAGCCAATGAGACATTCATTATTTTTGACTTAAAATAAATATGGTTCGCTTTTAATTTGTTGGCTAAATAAAACATTTCTTCCTCTTGTAGTTGGTGCAACTTTGTGATATATGACCATTCTATTTTTTTTCATGGCCAGATCGATAAGTTAAAAAATATTCGTAAAACTCAAACGCATTTCTAACCAGTTTCAACATATGACACGGATCTAGAAAAAGAAAATCTCTTGTCCAGTATAAGGATCTAATATTTTAGTCTGTAAATTTAGTGGATCAAGACAGCAGCCCAATTC